GACTCATTTGTGCCAACTTCTAGGTCCAAAATATTAGCGATTTAGCTACTTTAGTCTCATTTTTTTTTATCTTCCACTAGAGAACATGTTACGTAAAAGATACCTTGGCAGTTTGAATTCGAGGAGAGGGAGCATCTCAACCTCATTTTTTTTATCTTCCACTGGAGAACATGTAACGTTAAAGATCCCTTAGCAGTTTGAATTCGACGAAGAGTAGGCGGAAATACGCTGTCCGGACTGAATTTCTCTCGTAGCACACTGCATCGTCTTCAAAAGCCCTTCATTTCACTTTTTTACAATTTTCACGAACTTTATGTCTACAAAACTGTAATACATGCAAGCACAGCTGGTTTCTGAAATTGTTAATTCTTTGTTTAAACACAGTTTGCAGATGCTTCATTTTTGACTGTGGTATATAAGGGAGTTTTACACAGAAATGAAATGAAATGAAATGGGGTTTAACTTAACATGCTACTGTTCTGCTCCTACTGGGCTAATGAAGACGGGCATACGCCATACATTGTACTATGAGGGAAATTATGCCCGGACAGCGGCACTACGGCCTACTATTATATCGAATTCCAACTGTTAAAGGATCTTTTACGTGCATGCCAATGTGTACGCAGGAGTTTGGTTTTTCGTCCCATCCGAACGACTAGAGAGCTGTCCTTGTCACGCAATTTTACACTGTTTTACAGTCAACAGATAATAGGGTTAACATATCAAGTAATTTATTAATGTTACCCCATAATTACAAAGATTTAGTTGGAGCAATTTTACGCAAATTTTTTTTAACGAAATTTAAAACTGATAAGAAGATTATTGACATAATAATATGAATGGGTTTATTTGAGTTTCCGCACTACACTTATAAAACAATGTTGTTTTCATTAAAAAAAAAATGATAGATATTATATATCCCAAATACCCAATTAAAAGCACAAAGGCCCGCTCTAGTTTGGGGGGGAAACTGTATACTTGAAAAATGATCAGAAATACTTGAAGAGAATGGTGTGATGTCGGCTAAAATATAATTGTCGATTTTATTGGATTTAATAATACATGCATGTTGAATTGTGTTCGAGGGATGACTATCTGCCTTTTTTTTGCGAGTTCGAGAAAGCCCATCTGGATTTTCCGACGTGGTTTCCCATTGTCAGTGGTGCAGGAAGAAGTGCCTGCTATAGTCAGCCGTCTAGTCGTTCGGATGGGATGAAACACCGAGGTCCCTTGTACACATTGGCGTGCACGTAAAAGATCCCTTGGCAGTTGGAATTCGATATAAAAGTAGGCCTTAGTGCCGCTGCCTGTACAAAATTCTCCCACAGCACACTGTATGGCGTATGTCCGTCTTCATTAGCCCAGTCGAAGCAAAACAGTAGGACGTTAAACCCCGTTTTATTTCATTTTTGTCTTTGTTGAATATGTTACGTCCCAATGAGGTTTAACGTCCTACTGCTCTGCTGTCCCAAGATAAAGTCAGTGTTGAAATATAACCGATTCTGCGTTAAAGATGCATTATGTAAGAGCTAAATCTGCTTATACATTGTTATGTAGACATTTATTCACATGGCAAGTCCATAACCAACTCTCTACACCATCGGATGACTGAGATATTCAGTGGATAAGACAGTTATCTATTTTTTAACTATATATTATAACGGTCAGATCTTTATCTAAATCTTACATAATGCATCTTTAATAAACCATAAGTTACACTAAAAACTGTATACAAGACGGGGGTTGGATGGCCGAATGGTTAGCAAATGCGCGCTGTTTCGAATCACCGGTTGTACGTGACAAGGAGTAGGGTCACCTGTCCAACCTCGTGGGTTTTCTCCAGGTCCCCCGGTTTCCTCCCACTGCTAAAGATCCCTACGCGCAAGCGAATTATTAAAATAAAATTAAACCATATGTTAGTCCCGAAATGACCTAGTTTGTGTCGAGTGGACGTTAAACCCATCTCTCTCTCTCTCTCTCTCTCTCTCTCTCTCTGTGTATACAAGACGCCTTCCTAGTAATCTTTCTCAATAAAACTTCAATCGTATAGAAAGAGAGCTATGCCCCAAAGGCCCCTCACTAATCAGATCAACGAAATTCAATACTCTATCTTGACCTAAATCAAACCGATTTATCCGTTTTAGATTTTTAAATTTTAAGCCTATTAACACTGATAACACCGTGGTTTTTCCCGAACACTCGCCCATACCAAAGCTGTACCGAATACATCTAACATACGCTATACCAAAGCTGTACCGAATACATCTGTCAACGTGCATGCCAACGTGTACACGGGACCTCGGGTTTTCGTACTAACCAAGCGACTAAACCCAGTTCCTTACCCTGCCCTCTGCCCTGCAATAAATGACAGGCGACAGACTGGAAAATCCCCGGGAACTTTCTGGGCCAACACCTTTAACCTCCTGGTTAGTGAGCCAGTGCTTTACTCACTGAACCACCATGGCTATTATATTGGACACCATACAGAGGATAGTATGGCCCCGAGTTCACAAAGATTCCCAGGCTTTAGTTAAGAATTTGCTCAATTTCTCATAAACACTGATTGAAAGTTGAATAAGAGTCTGAGAATGCTTTGTGAACTGTAAACAGTCGATAGCTCTGTACATCTTGGCGTTTGATTTCCTGTACGTATTCCTGCGAGGGGGAGTAGGGATGGCTTAATTGTTTGCACGTGCGCGCTTTATCATGCGGTCTGTCATTGAGTCAACTGGCGTGGTTTCGATTCCCTGGTTGTAAGTGACAAGGAGTAGGGTCGACCGTCCAATATCGTGGGTTTTCTCCGGGTCCTCCGGTTTCCTCCCAAAGCTAAAAACAACTACGCGTAAGCGAATTATGACGTTAAATCCCCCCTCTCTCTCTCCCTCTCTCTCTCTCTCTCTCGTATTTCTACGATTCACGAAAGTATCTCCGCCGAGATCAATCTCTGTATACTATTTTAAACCTAAGATTGCTCATTTTAATATTTCAAGCCATGAGAACTAAATATTTCCGTCAGTTTGTAAACATGTACAATTTTAGGATGACAAGAAAAAAAACCCCCATGAACGTGATGATAGAACAAATATTTGCATAATATTAATTTTATGTCATTCACATATACTCCTCTATTTGTATAAACCCCAGAAAAATAAACAGACACAAAAGTTATGCTGAGAAAAATATTTCAGTAAAATCTGATGAATTAATAGTTTGTGAGAGCTAGGTTTTTTTTCTGTTTTAGATTTTTGTCTGTATTATATGAAATGTGTTACTACTACTACTAGATAGTATATAAACACTGGCTTTCACCTTAGCCATGGCCATTTCAGTGAATTTTGTGGTTAGAACTACACTATACACAACTTGTATAGATGAAATGAAATGGAGTTTAACGTCCTACTTTTCTGCCCCGACTGGGCTAATGAAGTCGGCAATAGAAACGTGAGCCACGGTGCCCAGTGGTTATAAGGTGCTGGCTCATTAAGCACAGGGTTCATAGTTTATTCCCTGTGTTGGCCGCGAAAGTACTGCGATAATGTTTAGCGTGGTTTCCTCTTGTCAGTGGCACAGGACGGAACAGCGTCTAGTCGTTCGGGTGGGACAAAAACTGCCGTCCCGTGTACACGTTGGCGTACTTTTTAAAAGAGAGAGAGAGAGAGAGAGAGAGAGAGAGAGAGAGAGAGAGAGAGATGGGGTTTAATGTCTTTAGCAGTGGGAGGAAACCGGAGGACCCGGAGAAAACCCACGGGGTTGGACAGGCGACCCTAATCCTTGTCATTCGAAATCACGCCAGTTGACTCAATGACAGGCCTTATGATACAGCGCGCACATGCTAACCATTCGGCCATCCAAGCCCCCTACGACTTGATAGTGTACAGGTGATGACAAAATCACATGATAATGACTACACGTTAATCTGGGCAATCAAACATAGATAATTTAGGTTTATATAGGCCAGGTTTAAAACATATCATATTATTGTAGATGATTAGACAAATTCTTTCAGCTATCTAATCTTGTTGATCAACGAGTAACACCTTCAGTTTCAAGTTTGATAAGAGAAATATGACGTAATGGAGAGAGAGAGAGAGAAATGGGGGTTAACGTCCACTCAACACAAACTAGGTCATTTTGGGACTAACATATGGTTTAATTTTATTTACACAATTCGCTTGCGCGTAGGGGTCTTTAGCAGTGGGAGGAAACCGGAGACCCCGGAGAAAACCCACGAGGTTGGACAGGCGACCCTACTCCTTGCCACGTACAACCGGGGATTCGAAACCACGCCAGTCGACTCAATGACAGACTTTATGATAAAGCGCGCGCACGCTAACCATACCCCCCCCCCCCCCTATGACGTGAAAGACGCATTGTGTGCATAAAAGAGCAATACGTCTAGGGTAGGGCCTTAACTAGCTTGATTGACACGACTCTGAAATTGTAATCTGTGAGCAAGGGCATTTTTTTTCATAAATCAAACATAATTCCAAATTAATATAACATCTAAGCCAATCTCATATAGATAATACGCCACAAATCGCAACACAGTATACCTGTATAGACCAAGTTCATTGGTCAGTAAGTTCACGTGATCTGAACAGCAACATCAAAAAAACGTAATTGCAATATTATTTTCATCAGAATGTGATACTCAACGTAAGCTTTTCATTTTTTGAGCTAACAAATTTTTGTACATGTATTTCTATTCAGGAATTGCACGATTCTGTTCTATAAATTTTTTTTTTTATTGTGAAAGTTCCTCGAGACTTTCCAGCGTGCTTTCCACTTGTCAGTGGTGCAGGATGTATGGTCTGGCAAGGAACGGGGTGTAGTTGCTCGGATAGTACGAAGAAAACAAGTTCCCGCGTGAAAGATCCCTTGGCAGATAGAATTCGTCGAAGAGATTGCGGAAACTCTACTGTCCGGGCAAATTTTCTTTCATACCCGATTCTTGCAAAAAATAAAAATATGTTACATTTAATTTTCGTTTTCTATTTCAGGCAATGAAGATGTAGTCAACGGGAACATTAAATTAATTCTAGGTCTTCTATGGCATCTTATTTTACGGTATCAAATCAGCTCAAGTAAAACCAAGGCCCCGCCAAAGAAATTGATGATGGCCTGGTTTACATCCGTATTACCAGAAATAAAAATAACAAACTTTTCATCCGATTGGTCAGATGGTATCGCTTTAAAGTAAGTCCTAAAGTATATTGTAGTTCATGTTTAAACATAACTGTTCATTTTTATACACAAAACAAAATGTGAACAATCATGGACTGACGTCATTTTAATTGAGAAGCCACGGTAGCTAAATGGGTAAGCCTGTAGGCCGCGTGTTCGATCCCTGCATTGGCCGAGATGGTTCATCGGGATATTCCGGTGTGGTTTCCCCTTGTCAGTGGTGCAGAACGGAGGGTCTGACAAGGATAGTTGTCTAGTCGTTCGGATTGGACGAAAAAGCGAGGACCCGTGAATACTTTGACGTGCACGTAAAAGAAACCCTTGGCAGTTGGAATACGATGTATGAGAAGGTCATAGTGTCACTTCCCGGACAAAATTTACCTCATAGCACACTGTATGGCGTATGAACGTCTTAATTGGCCCAGTAGGAGCAGAACAGTAGGACGTTAAACCCCATTTCATTTGATTTCATTTTAATTGGAAATTGCAGTGGACGCTTATTAAACCTGTAGATTTCCAAAGTTAGTGGGGTTAGCCGCTTGTCTAGAATATCTAGGGTTCGAATCCCGCTGTGGGCGGAGAAGAATCATTCGGAATTTTTAAGCCAGGTTCTGGCGTCTGACCCCGAGTTCACAAAGCATTCTCAGACTTGAGTTAAGAATTAACTCACTTTCAATCACTGTTTATGAGAAATATCTTTGATCCACAAACACAAAAGATTGCACACAGTTTCTTATTGATGTATTTGATACATTAAAACAACAAAAGTTTTATAAATAGGTATATTTTAGTTAATATGAGGCGAACAATTTTGAATAAATCCTTGGCTAAATTCTAAGAATGCTTTGTGAACTTGGGGCCTGACGACAGTGACGCTGATTGTAGAACTTAGAACGGACTGTTCTTGTGCTTTATGTTGATTGTATAATTTCATATTTCAGTGCTCTGTTAGAAATGTGCCGACCTGGCTCTTCTCCAAACTGGAAACAATTACACAGTAAAAACAGGTAAATATTAATTAAAATTGATTGTAGATTTCCAACTCGGTTTCTCCTTGTCAGTGGTGCAGGAGGCGGGAGGGGACAGCGTCTAGTCGTTCGTACATGTTACATGTTAGCGTGCTCCAAAAATAACCCTTGCCAGTACAAATATCGACGCAGCTCTCCGGGCCAAATTTCTCTCATAACACACTGCGTAGCCGGTCTTCATAAACCCAGTTGTACGTTCAAACCTATTACGTTTCATTTCTCATTCGAAACATTAGTTTTTTGCTTCAAAACGACAAGTGAAATCTGGTTGAAAGATTGCAGTATATTGTAATAAACATGGTGATTTTGTCCATACCAAGAATTATAGTAGTATATTGATAAATACCTCTCAAAGATTAGATTTCATGTTTGTTTTAATCGTGGGGGTGAATACATTTTAGTTTCTTAGTACACAAACCTTATTGTAGATAGGCTTATTTTTTAAATAGTGAGAACCACGGTGTCTAAGTGGGTAAGACGTTAACTCGCTAGCCTGGTGGTCGCGTGTTCGATCCCTGCATTGACCGATAAAGTTCATCGGGACTTTCCGACTTGGTTTCCCCTTGTCGATCGTGGAGAACGGAGAGTCTGACATGGACGGCTGTCTAGTCGTTCGGATGTGACGGAAAACCGAGGTCCGTGTATACATTGGCGTGCACGTAAAAGGTCACTATTTAGTTGTAATTCGATATAAGAGTAGGCCATAGTGCCATTGCCCGGGCAAAGTTTCACTCATAGCAAACTCTATGGCGTATGCCCGTCAACTTTAGCCTAGTCGGAGCAGAACAGTAGGGCGTTAAACCCATTTTATTTCATTTAATTACATTTTAAAAAGTATACTTTATTAAAAAGATATTATAATATTTTAGGGTTGAGAATTGTCGACTTGCAATGACCTTGGCCAAAGATCTCCTCAACATTCCTATCATGATCAGCCCCGAGGATTTCGCAAGTTCGGCGCTAGACGAAATGTCAGCAATGACGTATTTGTCATATTTTATAAAGAAAGATTCTCCGGGATATTACGCTACTTTGAACTGGGTGTGTCGACAACTTCGTACAACGACAGTCAGTAACTTATCAGTAAGTATCTAAGCTACCTACACATTTATTTGTTGTAACAGAAATAACCGTCATCTTATTTTTAAGCTCGTCAAATTTCCAGAATTTGCATGAAATATATAGGCCTATAATGTGCATCAAATTTTCATTCATTGCATCACGTTTGTGGCTAAGTGGGTAAGACACTGGCTTGCTAGCCTGAAGGTTGGTGTTCGATCCTTGCATTGGCCGAGAAAGTTCACCAAGATTTTCCGGCGTGGTTTCCCCTTGTCAGTGATGCAGGACGGAGGGCCTGACAAGGGCAGCTGTCTAGTCGTTCGGATGGGACAAAAAACGAGGTCCCGTGTACACATTGGCGTGCACGTTAAAGATCCCTTGACAGTTGGAATTCGATATAACCGTAGGCCGTATTGCCGCTGTCGGAGCAAAATGTCCCTCATAGAACACTGTATGGCGTATGCTGGTCTTCATTAGCCCAATTCATGCATCGCGTTTTCATTCATTGCATCCATTTTTCATTCATTGCATCCATTTTTACCCAATTAGTCGTCGTGATCCGCAGTGTCTTAATGACCTTCATGTTTATTCGTTGTTCGGAATTTTCAAGTCTGGTTCCCGCTTATCATTGGTACAGGACGAGGGGCTGGGTCGTCTCGCAAGATTTAGGTATCTAGTCGTCTGGATGGCACGAAAAACCGTGTATACCAATAACAGCACGTCAAAGATTCTCTGGCGATATTATATCGAAATAAGAGTAGGCCGTGCTGCTGCTGTCCTGAAAAAATTTCCACATAGCACACTACACGGTTTATGTCCACCTTTAACAACCAGGGGTCTGTTTCATGAAATTTTAACTAAGATAAAATCCAAATTTTAGTAATTTGATTGGATAATATTATATTGATTTTAGTGCTTAGCCAATCAAAATTGAAGTATCTACTAAAATTGGATTTTATCTTTAGTTAAGATTTCGAGAAACAGGGCCCAGATTTTTGCTAAAAGGTAGGATGTTAAACCCCAAATGATATCGAAATAAGAGTAGGCTAGGCTGCTGCTGTCCGGACAAAATTTCCCCCGAATGACATATGTCCGTCTGTCGAATTTTAAACCCCAGTTCATGTCATTTCATATTTATTCAATTGAAAAAAGTGTAGCTTTTTCTAAGCAGAAAACAAGTGAGAAATACTTCCAGTTTATTCAAATATCTAAACCTGTCAGTTAAGAATTTTCTGTCGATATCGTTATTGAACTTTAAAATAGTAATGTTTTGTCTAAATAGCTGAAATTGTTGAATGGGTTGAAAATTCGAGAGATGAGCACTTCACTTGAACAGGTGCGCTCAGTGGTGCATTTACGCTCTTTCTCGCCATCTGAACGACTAGCAACTCATCCTTGCTAACTTTACACCGACATCGGTAAGGAAAAATTTACCACGATCTCAAGAAAGGACGCACTTCTATGGAATACAATTGGTTTAAACAGTGTTTTATTCAGGAGAACATAAGTTTTTACAATTTATCATTTAAGAGAATGTAAGTGAATAGGATGCAGTAACAAGCAAAAATGCTTATATAAATCTGTTTCCATAATTACGATCATTACATATATGACGACTATATAGATATATATCTGTGAGATGTTGTGTGATTTAAACCAAAGGTGTGGATAAAATATGTAAGTTTAAAGTTGGAAGTACGGAAGACGAAAATGATTATTTTAGAGGTGTAACATAATCATATCATTTCGTAATTCCAACTTTGAATCAATCATCAGGTCTCAGTTTAATATATGGCGTGTCTGAAGCCTTATTAATAAACACACATTTTTTAGTGTTTGTTATATTAATAATTTCATATTCCTGAGTACGTGTAAATTGAATGGGATACCAGGTATATCACGATTATTTAAAACGCTTGGTTAATTTTAAAAACAACAATTCGGAAGAGATGAATGTTTTCTTCATAACTGTTATTTTTGTTTCCATACAAGAATACAATTACTCTTGTTTATGACTGAGTGACGTTTTGACTTGATTTCTCTGGTCTTACCAAGCAATGGTTAAATTTATACAATGTGGCGGGAGATTATATATGTATTATCATTGAGTGGCATTTAATGATTGAGAACAATAAAAACACAACAACAAATGTTTAATTGGAATACAACCACTGATTGTTATACTTTTAGCGCGACGTTTCGACAGATGTCCGCTTATCGTTCTGAGAAACAAAATCAACCATCCAACCAACCAGAGACATGCCACTAATTAACTTAGGCCAGTGTGTTTCCAGTTCAATTACTAAATGTTATTGAAACAGTATATTTCAGACTAAATGTTATTGAAACTATATTTCAGACTAAATGTTATTGAAACAATATATTTCAGACTAAATGTTAACGAAACAATATATTTCAGACTGATTGGAATGATGGATATTATTTATGTGGTATCGTACAATCAGTTGGAGGAAACATTCCTGGTTGGCCGGATCTTGATAGAAATGATTACATCGCCAACTGTAGACTGGGTATGTATATGTTAGACTTCGATCATTTAGCGCTGATAAAGTAGTGTAATGAAATGAAAGGAAATGAGGTTTAACGTCCCACTGTTCTGTTCCGACTGGGCTAATAAAGACGGGAATATATACGCCATACAGTGTGCTATGATGGAAATTATGCCCGGACAACGGCGCTACGTCCCACTCTTATATCGAATTCCAACTATCCGGGGATATTTTACGTGCACATCAATGTGTTTACCTTGAACTCGGTTTTTCGTCCCATTCGAACGACTACATAATAATAACAGTCATAGCAAATCTTGTCATATGGTGGACGTTGGGTGAGGTGGAGTTGCATACAGGCTGGAATAAATATAAATATGCAAGACACAACAAATATAAACGAACACAATATTTGCTGTGGTGTTGCGACGTGTTTACCATGCCCTCTAGACTTTAGAAGAACAAGATGGTCGGCTGACACAGTCACACATGAGACGCATGTCGTCACAAGAACAGGGATTTTTACAATACAGTGAAACCACGCTATTGAGACAAATTGTGGGACAGACATGAATTGGTCTAAATAGTAGTTATGTAGTTATCTCCCTTTAGTTAAACCCTGTTCTCGTTTAAAATTGGCGTCGCCTGTAGGTCGGAAACGGAGTCTAGTTGTTCAGATGGGACGACAAACCTAGATAGGCAGTGTCGGATTAAAGCTCTGCTGGCCTGATAAAAGGAAGAAAGTTAAATTTAACAACAGAAAAATTACAGTATCTAGATTACAACTATTTTTACTTTATTTATTTGTGGCCTGGATTTTGGCTGGCCCTAAGGCACGTGCCTTATTTGCCTCATGGTTGACCCAGCACTGAAGACAGGTAGTGCTCAAAAAAGATCCTGAAGTTAGAATTCGAAGGTGAATGAACAGAAACGTCACTGCCCGGGAAACTCCCCTCGCCCCCCTTTTGAATTGCGTTTGTAATGTTAAACATAATATTGACTAATGTTAGTCTCAAAATGTCGACAGAACGTTAAACCCCATTCCATTGCCTTACATTTTGTTGACAGGTATGGAGACGGCTAAAGCAATGGGAATAGACCCAATATTAACACCTGAAGAAATGGCGGACCCTAGCGTCGATCATCTAACTATAATGGCCTACCTCAGTAAATTTAAATCCTATCAACCTATACAGGAAGATAAAAAAGAAAAGATAATATTAATATGTGACATAATAAAAGCTTTACAAGACGAGCAGGTAGGTTGCAAAACTGCACTGGAAAATCAATGTGTTTTTTTTTTATGTCGTAATACCCCCGTCAGACCGGGGTGGCGTCTTTACTTCGCTGCTACGGCGACGGAAAATGGTTTAAGAGCGCGTTAAGATCGCCATAAGCGTGCTGTGGTCACCATGGTCGCCAGTGATCGCATGTTCAAAACAAACTCCAAGGTTCTGCGATCTGAAATGGAAAGCTATGAGAACATGACTTTTTTCAAGTTTTTAATTCTTTGGGACATTTTCGCGCGTTGTGTTCACGTTTGCCGGCGACCTTGTGCATTTTTTGGTCTCCGTGCGGTCGCAGCAGCGCAGTAAGGACGCCACTCCGGTCTGACGGGGCTACCTGACGCCCTGCTCAATTTTATATAATAGGGAGTGATTAAAGGTGCATTATGTAAGAGCTAAATCTGCCCTTTGCTTTAACTGGTATATATCTATATAAATAAAATCAGAGATGTGTGTAGGTATGTTTGTATGTTCGCCTATCACGCATCGTCGCCACCCCCTACCCCCACATTTGTGGTACAAATTAACCAGCACGATCCCATGAATGATTTAGGCCATAATTTATAAAGCTCAGGGTCATGTATTAGTTTAACACACCCAAAAATGAATGTTGGGCGATTTTACTGCAATTAACGGTTAACGGGAGGTAACTCTGTTTATTATGCTGATAAAGGTTAATAATAGTAACGGATGGTGTAAACTAGCGGAAAAGCGTGCAGGTGGTGTGGTGTGGTGTGGTGTGGGGTGGGGGTGGGGGGTAATTAGACCTTGGGCCCCGGACGAAGCCGGTATCGAGCTAGTATACATTATTATTGAAATATTTATTTATGAGAAGCCCATAATCAACTCTCTAGGTCATCGGGTGGATTAGATATTGAATGGATAAGAATAGCCTCGGGATTTGATAATTTAAGGATGAAATGGACAATCGAGACATTGATTATTATTGTAGTAATGATACTTGTAAATAGAGACTATCTTGTCAAAACTTCAAACACTATTGACTTCGCAGGGGCGGATCCAGGAATATTTGCAGGAGGGGGATTGCCAGGTTTCTGTTAAGGAGGTTTGATAGTTGACAATGCATGATGTATACATACACACTTAGCTTTTTAAAAAGAGAAATCCAACACCCCGTTTGACGTCAGTTTTATTTTTTATTATGAATTAATAGGATCACATTTTGAATCAATTTCATTGATACAAGTCATTACATGTGATATTACATTTTCTTATATAAAGTGATGTTTTACCCCGGATCCGTCCCTGCTTCGCCCACAATTTGACTGGAATTTTCAATATGTGATTCTCATGCTCTACTTTTAAACCGTTATAATAAGGATAATCAACTCTTTATCTTAATCTTGCATAATGCATCTGTAATATTTTTCTGTTTATACATTTTCTCCATTTTTTTTTATGTTTATGTTTGTGCAGATAAAATTTAAAGTAGAACTTCCCGATAATACATTAGATAAATTAAAATTGAAAGTAGAAGTCAAGAGTAAGAACCATGTTGTGACGTGTAACGCAGCATGGAAAGACAACATTGGTGAATATTTGTTTACACCACGTGAAACAGGAAAACATGCAGTAAGTATATCGCTTATTTTAGTACGAGAGGGGTTCACTAGTACGCCGCTATAAGAAATACTATAAATATGGGTATCAATAAACCTAACCCTAACCCAACCCTATAATAGATATCGGTGGACTAATGAACCCTAACCCTAACCCATCTCTAACCCTAAAAATAGATATCGGTGGACTAATGAACCCTAACCAAACCCTAACCCTACTAATAGTTATCGGTGGACTAAATAAACCCAACCCAACCGTAACCCAAATAATAGATATCGGTGGACTAATGAACCCTAATCCAACCCTAACCCTAATAATAATAGAGAGAGAGAGAAATGGGTTTTTTTTTATTTATTTATTCTTCCAAGAGGCATATCATACATGACAATATAGATGATCATATGAAGTTACATGATAATAAGATGAGAAAGTTTTGATGAGAGAAAAAGTAATGATGTCATGGATGACCAGCCTCTTGAGGATAACCCATAAAAACCTGCTTAAAATAAAACTAGGTTTATTTCCAATGCGGTCCTTGGAGGAGGATCAGGTTATGTCATCATAGAGGGGCAGATTCATTTATGAAAGATGAAGGATGGAATATGACAATAAATAGTGAAATGTGTGTGTACCATAAGGGATGTGAAGTACAAAGAGGTATGAAAGACATCGGGGTATACATACATAAACTAAAACATTTGTATTTGTTTTCCTAGCAAGTGTTGTTTAACATTTTTCTTAAAAGTGCCAATGTTCTCTATTGATTTAAGTTGGTTTGGAAGTTCATTCCAGGCCTGAATACTTGAATAGTAGAAAGTTGAGTATTGGGTATTATTTTTGCATTTTGGTACAACATAATTATAAATGCTTGATCTAGTACTATGTAGATGAGTATCCCTCACTAAGCGAAAATTGGCTTTCATGTACACCGGAGACACATTATGAAAGATTTTGTGAACATGGTTCAGTTTCAGTTGTTTGACTCTATTATCAAGATTTAAACTATTTAAATCTTTGTACAAATTTTGGGTAATTGAATCTCTGGGACCTAAGCCGTGTATGAATCGGATAACTTTGTTGTGAATAATTTGTAGTTTGTTCTTCAGCTTCTTGTTTAAGCCTGAGAACCAAGCTGAACATGCATAATCTAAGTGGCATTGTATAAGAGCATTGGTTAATAATTTCCTAGTATACTTTGTTAAAGACTTGTTATACCTATATAAAAATTTCAATCTGGTATTGACCTTTTTAATAATATTATTAACTATTAATTCACCAGAGTGACAATGATCAATATATAGACCTAAATGTTTTACACTATCTGTTGCCTGAATGACATGATCATTACACACTATTTCAAAACTACTAGTTTTCTTTAGTTTTCTACTTGGGCCAAATAACATGCATTCAGTTTTACCTAAATGGAGGGATAATTTGTTGTCTACTAACCAGTCTGAACAAGCCTTTAAGGCTTCGCTAAGTTTTAAAGATACTATTTCAGGATTTGGATGAGAAAACAGGATTGCACTGTCGTCAGCATATAAGATTAATTTACAAGGGGCAGGTATGCTAATGATCATGTCATTCACATAACAGAGAAACAACAAGGGACCCAGGATGCTGCCCTGTGGAACTCCACAAGAAATGTCCAAGGGGTCTGAGAGAGTTTTACCAACGTTGACAACTTGTTTGCTGTTGGAAAGATATGAACGAAACCATCCTGTGGATCAGACGCCGATCATTTCAAGTTTTTTACACAAGATATCATGGTCGACTGTGTCAAACGCTTTTTGCAGGTCCAATAGGACCATACCGGTAAAATTCCCTTTAACATTTTGATCCTTGAGATGATCCAACAAACTGATCAAACATGTGTCAGTTGAATGGCTGCCCCTGAAGCCAGATTGTTGTTCATATAATAAATTATTGTCTTTCAAATGAGTCTCCAGTTGTATATAAACAGCTTTTTCCAGAATCTTTGACACAATACTGAGAATGCTCACAGGCCTATAGTTGCTCACAAGAAGAGAACTGTTTTTTTTTATATAATGGTTTGACCCTAGCTAATTTCAGTTCATCCGGAACGGAATTCTCTGAAATGGATAAATTGATCAAAAATGTAATGGGTATTTTAAGGACATCAGCACCATCTTTTAAAAAGCGAGCTGGAATGTCATCTAGACCTGTACTTTTGGCAATGCTAAGTGATTGAAGCTCTTTATGTACAAAATCTTCTGAAACATGATGCAGGCTAAAATTAAGACTGTGAACATTACCAGTTCTGTTGTCATAGAAATCTGAAAAAAGTGTAGAATTATAATCATAAATAGAGGTAGGTATAGGTAACTGTCGAACTAGTGTTGAAGCGACAGTAGTGAAGAATTCATTGAAGAGATTTGCAACAGTTTTCTGGTCATGGACATTCACACCATCATTGGATATTACAATATTACCATTTGCCTTTTTGCCATTCTTATAGCCAAATTCAATTAAAATTTTTCCATAAATTTTTGGGGCTATTTTTGTGTTCGTTCAGTTTATTACTCAAAAATGTACATTTTCCCCTTTTAATGACCCTCTGTGTATTATTTCTTACTTTACAAAAACTTTTGTAATCAAATTCATTTTTAGATTTTTTGAAACGTGCCAAAAGCGAATCCCTTTTAGAAATTAATTCCAAAATGGTGGATGACATCCATGGCTCAGTCCTCTGTTTTAGTCTAACCTCTTTCACTGGAGCAACCGAATTTAAGATTTCCAAAAAAGTACTTTTAAAGCCCAACCACACTTCATTGACGTTGCCTAAATTGAAACAAGTTTCCCATTTTGCAAAAGTTAGCTTTTCTATGAATTCATCCCGATCATAATTTTGGAGAGATCGAATTTTCACAGTATTATGCAGATTTATAGGAGTTTTTGTACATTTCCTAATACAGTATGTTATGAAATGGTCACTCAAACCTGAGTGGATTACCCCAGATTTCAAATTTTTTTCAGGAAAATTACATATGATATGGTCGATAATGCTTTTCGTATTCAGAGTAATTCTGGTATAATCGGAGATTATTTGAGTAAAGTTAAACAGCTTTAAAAGATCTAAGTAATTTTTACATTGCACGGTTTCAGTCTTGGTAACGCATATGTTTAGATCACCAAGAATAATAGTTTCATAGTCTGTTTTAAGATTTGAAAGGAATTCTTTGAAAGAAGTTAGGAAATGATTATGGTTTGGAGGTCTGTACACAACACCCACTAGAAGAGGTTAGGATTTCGGCAACAGAAGATCGATAAACACAAATTCCTCATTAGTGTCACCCAGGTCTGTTCTATTAGTTGAAGCAAGGTCAGATCGGACATATAAACACACACCACCGCCATGCCGGTTTCTGTCTTTTCTAATGATGTTGTAGTTCTGGATGTAAATTTCGTCATTTGTAATACTATCGTCTAACCAAGTTTCACTAACAGCTATGACCGCTGCATTTACTTTCGAAGCAATGAGTCGGAGTTCAGAGAGTTTAGGTAGGAGTGAGCGTGCATTTAAATGTATAAACTGCAAGCCTTTCTTAGGTAAACCATCAAAGACAGAGTCAGAGATCACAGAATATTTACTCTTTACATCGCTACAGGAAGGCCCGGAATTAACTACTGATACTGAAGAATTCCAAAAAGGCAAGGATTGAAGTGTACACAAATTACAAATGGAGGAGTCATTACTGCATTGACATGATGAGGGTAATTGGAGTGACCTTTTACCTGCAAGTTTTCTTGGGTTGACAGCGTTACTGAGAGTTTTATCTTGAAACGGGCCGGGATTTTGCTGAATATCACCACATAGGAGGATGAAACATGTTATTAGGGTCCAGTATTGAAAAGAAAGTGTCTTTAATTCTGAATTTGATTTGTAAAGTTTTCTTCCTTGCAACCATAGCGTGAATGTAAACAAACGGCCGCCATTGTGAGTCTGCTCACTCTTGTTTACCGATGAAAAAACATTAGTTTTAATGAAGTTACCAGACTTAAAACCACAGAAACTGAAGTCCATCCAATTCCCTGCACACCTCCCTGCATCTCCACAATGCCCATAGCGCACACACATTAAACTATTTGTGAAAAATGATGAAATGATGATGAATAAAATGAATCTGCCTCCTCCTATGACACTGACCTTCTTTTACGTCCACTCGACACAAACTAGGTCATTTTCTGGACTAACGTAATATGGTTCAATTTTATTTCATTACTTCGCCTGCGCGTAGGGTTCTCTAGCAGTGGGAGGAAACCGGAGGACCAAGAAAAACCCACGAGGTTAGACAGTTTTTAGCAAAGCGATTTATTGTCAATTTGTGATATATATTAGATCCATGTGTATTTTGATAATAAAGAAATATTTTACAGTTAAATTTAGTTTAATAACTTTCGGGGGGGGGGGGGGTACTACTTTTACAGTTTTCAGCAAAGCGATTTATTGTCAATTTGTGATATATTTCAGATCCATGTGTATTTTGATAATGAAGAAATGACTTGGAGCCCTGATGAGTTTGAAGTAGTAGCTGATCTATCGAATATAAAAATATCAAGTGATGATATATATTGTAAGGTGGACGGTCAATGGCAAGTGAAGGTATTTTATACAGTGTAGCAACTTTATATTAACAAACACTAATTTACTTACTCTTTCTAGAACACCTGATATCACTTCAAGTGAGTTTAGTAAAATGAAATGCGGTTTAACGTCCTACTGTTCTGCTCCGAACTGGGCTAATGAAGACGGGCATACGCCATACAGTGTGCTATAAGGGAAATTTAGCCCGGGCAGCGGCACTACGTCCTGCGTCACTGACAAGGTGTTTTTGGTTTATCCAATTAGTTTATTGATTATGCAATTAGAATCCAGGATAAATGAAACAGATTTCTTTATAAAGAAGAACCCTATCAAAATTCCACATGCTAGGGTGGCAATTTTCTATCTTCCAAATTACGTTTGTCCTTTATGAACCACAGTCCCTTCGTCGTGCACCACTGAGGCCCTTCGTCGTGCACCACTGAGGCCCCTAGTCGTGCACCACTGACAGCGGTAAACCACACCGAACAACTCCGAGAGAGAATCGGAGTTAAACGTCCATTTGAAACAAACCAGGTCATTTCGGGACTAACATATGCTACATTTTTGATTCAATAATTCGCTTGCTTCTGGGTGTCTTTAACAGTGGAGGAGGGGGGGGGGGCGAAGAAAACCCCACGAGGTTAGGCAAGCGACCCTATTCTTCGTCACATACAGGCTTGGGATCGAAACCACACCACTTGACTTCATGACAGACAAGATCTAAAGCACACAGTTAGATCGCTAGACCCCGAGCACCCAATTTGTTGGCTGTAGTTGTATCATAAGGTCTGTCATTGAGTCAACTGGTGTGGTTTCGATTCCCCGGTTGTACGTGACAAGGAGTAGGGTCGCCTGTCCAAACCTCAGGGGGTTTCTCCGGGTCCTCCGTTTTCCTCCCACTGCTAAAGACCCCTACGCCTAAGCGAAGTATTGAGATAAAATTGAACCATGTGTTAGTCCCGAAATGATCTAGTTTGTGTCGAGTGGACGTTAAACCCCATTCCTCTCTCTCAATTTACAGGAAACAAAACTGTTCAATATTTAGGCATATAGATAAGTTGTTGATAAGTTGTTTATATTCAGGTTGACGTGTCACGTGCTAAAGATACGAGTATATCTATAACCTCGACGAATCCAGTAGGTAAAACAGAGGACGTTCCTGTAATTAAAACCAATGACGTAATAATTGGATCCATCAGACCACGGATCGTAGGTAATGTATAACATTTTAATATCAACCCTCGTATTACTTTTACACTATTTGCGTACAACTTTTGTCAATTTTATTGGGTAGTTTCGTTTCAATTTATCGTAATTTCGATCTCAATCCTCATTACGGTGTAACGGCGACATATTGAAATGTTTTTTAAAATTGGATAAAAATTGTAACCTCTAGAGGATCCACAACTAAAAATGTGATTTTTCGTACAATCTGGGACCATAATCCAGGAAGTTGTGGTCAGATACACGCGAATATCGAAAGGAACCGAGACCTGTAAAATGTCCATAAACAAATGTGACCGGACGGACAGACGGGGGCGACGACATTATACGTCCACATGAAGATCTGGGTGTGTATAAATCATTAGCCAGAATGTCATGTTGACAAAGTCAATAATTTCAATTATTAAATAGCTTTAGAATTAAAGAGGACTACATACATCAGATGTAAGCACCACATGATTCATTGAAGATGTACATGAGCTGGATCAAGTGGTACAAATTATATAATATGTACTTTGTACTTTACATAAAATGTTAATACGGTTAAATTACCTAGTTCCACGTCATAGCATTGTTCGTTTCTATTGAAGTACATGTATAAAGTTTCAGCTTTTCGTTGCTCGGGGTGATGTTTGTTCTAGAATATTATATTTGGGTCAAGATTGACTCCCCCCGCACAACACCTATTTTTCAAAAGTTCCTAGGTTGAGGACCCCCCCCCCCCCCCGTCCTTCCTCACTAACCAGACTATACAGGTCACAATTCTGTGGAATACAATTACTGCTTTTTACTGAGCGACGTTTCGACTAGGCTTCTCTAATTATTATCAAGCTAGGGTTGTCGAAACGTCGCTCAGTAATAAGCAGTAATTAATTGTATTCCATAGAATTGTGACCTGTATACTCTAGTTCAATTACTAAATGCCATTGAAACAGTTCACTAACCAGACGTTGGTTATTTTTAAGACCTTTATCTCAATGATTGTTACCGTTATGGTGGACGGTTGGCTTGGGTTAGAAGGGGAAAAGACCTGGCAGGGAACTCAAACTTCGCTGGCGTCACGCGAGTCATTTTTTCTGTAACAAATTGAGTTTTTATTAAAATCAAATCAAGCAATGTTTCTTTCAACTCCTTGACAAACCTGCTGAGTTGAAAATGAAAAATTTATATTTTCTATATAAATCTATATTCATCTCTGATCGTTTAGCTTGTAACCGTAACTATCCTATCCATTTTTTGAACGGATGTAAAACTTATTTTAAACACTTGCTAAAATGCTTGACAGAAGAAATTAAATGAAATGGGGTTTAATGTCCTACTGTTCTGCTCCGAACTGGGCTAATGAAGACAGGCATACGCCATACAGTGTGCTATGAGGGAATTTTGCCCGGACAGCGGCACTACGGCCTACTCTTATATCGATTTCCAAATATCAATGGTAATAATCTTCTGGTCGTTAATCGGTTGGATAAATTTTACCTAACCCTTATAACACGACAAGACCATAATCAACTCGTTGCCATCGGATACTCATGATTTGAACTAGATTAGAACGGTTCGGCCATTTAATGATTTGATTTAAAAAAAGGAAAGCGACGCTAAGCCTCAAATATACCAGTATGGTCGTTACGATACTACACAATCAATGCTCACATCTTGGCAAAACTACAAAGAGTGATAACTTGGCTCAGAATCAAGTACTTTGAATGAAATTTTCAATATATTCATTTTGCATTATCTATTTTTGAACTATTATACTCAAGAACGGTCAGCTCTTTATTTAAATCTTACATAATGGATCTTTAATTATAGGAAAATGGAGAGTGACGATCTATATGAATGGACATAAATCTAGTGACGAACTTTTCTTCAATGTGTTTAACCCCAATACCTGTACTTTGATTGGACCAGATTATTTATTGGTGGGCGAGAAAGCCACATTTACTGTCGACAGTAGCGAGGCAGGAAGTGACGAAGTTGACCTTCAAGTGTACGATAAGCAAGATCGACCACTCGGGGATTTTGAAACAAATACGATCGGTCATCATACAGAGCTGACATTTTGTCCAAAGATTGCTGGGAGATACAAAGTTGCGGGGGAAATGTACGAAGAAAATATCTCAGGTAACTTTTCATCGGCACTGTCCATTCGCAGGTCGCTTGGGGTGATCAAGCCGGTTCGGGTTATCAGTTGGGAAGTTTGTACCGGTTGGGGTGATCAGGCCTGTTTGCGAAGTTAGACAGGTTTTGGTGGTCAAGTCGAATGAGGTGATTGGTCCGGGTGAAGTGACGGGTTGGGGTGATCAGGTCGAGTGGGGTGATTGGTCTGGTTGGGGTGATCCGGCCTGTTTGGGACAAGGTTGGGGTGATCAGGTTGGGTGGGGAGATTGGTTCGGTTGGGGGTGATCAGATCAGTTGGGGAGATTGGACCACTTGGGGTGACCAGACCGTATAGACTGATTGGGTAGGTGGTGTGATGTATTGATGCATTGGGAATCTAAGTTAGGGTTAGAGGGGAGGGGGCTTAACGTTTGATCCAACCCTAACCCTTGTAGTGTCTACCATTCCAATTCCAAGGGCCAAAGAAACTTTCACCTGCACGACCTAATTCTACATCGGAGAATGGAGGTCGGGGTCTTTCATGGGGTTCCTCCGGGTCCTCTGGTCCCCCCCCACTGCTAAAGACCCCTACGCGCAAGCGAATTATTGAAATATAATTGAACATATGTTCGTCCAGAAATTATTATTATTATTATTATTGTTCGATTTATATAGCGCTTCATTACACGTGAAGTGTTTCTAAGCGCATGTCACAAACATATACTTCAAACACACAGAAACAATCAAAATCAGGAGAACATAATTAAACACAGCTGCCTGTTAGGCGCTATTATTCAAAGGTTTATATCCAACAAATCAACCGGCTAATCTCTATATTGAACTCAGTCGAGGTATTACCTGATGAACACCTACACCAAGTAGAGTTCAAAAATAAAAAAACGAAGTTTAAAAGAATCAACTTCATTAACAAAAATTAAACAATCAAAAGCTAAACAGATAAATCAAATTCAAACGAAACAAATAAAACAAAGAAAATGAAAAGAGCAGTTCATTACCATTCTACATTAACAAAATAAAGGAAATCAACTTGTGAAATTTTTTTCAAAAAATAAGAGCAAAGTAACACTAATGTTAATACTTTTTTAACGAACATATCATAAATATAATTAATTTTACCTATAATATCTATTTCAGAAATCAGACTTTATCAATCAATTACAATCAAAATGCTTATCGCTCTGCTTACCCAGAGCTGAAAATGCTCATTATCAAACTTAGTCAAGGTATAGATGTGATGAAACTATACACCAAGTTAATTAGAACCAAAGTTATCATGTCCCAAAGCATCAATAAAAGATCTAATTTATAATCAACATATACTAATGTCCAAAAGAAAGTATACACTGTGCATTTTATGACATAGTTTGTGTCAAATGGACGTTACCCCCCCCCCCCTCTCTCTCTCTCTCTCTCTCTCTCTCTCTCGCTCGCTCTCTGCTGTTTATTTTAAAGATAAGACTATTTTACAGGTAGTCCAATATATATTGAAGTACATGACACGAGCCAGGTTGTAACCAGTGGTGATGGTTTATTTAAAGCTGTTAAAGGAGAGAAGGCAACGTTCACTGTTAATACCAATAAAGTTAAAGGAAATCTTTCTGTCTCTATAAAAGGTAATATATCTTTAAACATACATTATGCAAGAGCTAAATCTGTCTATTACAGGCCTTTCTTTAGACCTGAAATGTTATCTAAATTATTAATAAGACATTAATTAACTTATCCAGGTCGATGGCATCAGATTTCTCTGATATTAAATAGATTAGAAAGGTTCAGCATTATTTTGATTTAATTCAAAAATGGAGAAGCGAGACTTAGCTTCGAACAACCAGTACGGTGGTTGAAATTATTGCACACGTCTTGTCAAACCTTCAGAGGCTAATATCTTAGCTCATAATAGAGTAATTTGAATTAAATTTTCAGATTATTCATTTTACATTATCTTTTTTCGAACTATTATAGTAAGAATGGCCAACTCTTTATCTAAATCTTACATAATGTATCTTTAAGTGCAGACTTTTAATATATTTCATTCCCCTAACTGTAAATGTCATCGAGCATCTTAAACCAGGCCCCCGGTTTCACAAAAATTGTTCGCCTTATTTTAACTAAATTATAGCCCTTTTATAAAACTTTTGTTGTTTTATTATATCAAATACATCAATAGGAAACTATATGTTTCTTGATCAAAGATATTCCTCATAAACAGTGATTGATAGTCGAGTAAATTCTTAACTTAAGTCTAAGATTGCTTTGTGGTGTCCACTGAATTTGCAAGATTCCTTGGGGTATAAAACCCAATTTTTATATCGTTAAGAGGGGTTAGGGGGTTTCCCGAGAAATTTTCACGGCCGCAAGCAACGCAGGTATGTCGTCGAATTGAATTGATAGCAGAGACAAGCACCGTATGTCGAATCATATAGGAGACAGAAGCAAGCATCGTGTGTCGAATCGTTTAAGTGATGGAGGCAAGCACCATATGTCGAAGCGTATAGGTGATGGAGGCAAGCACCGTATGTCGAAGCGTATAGGTGATGAGGGAAAGCATCGTATGTCGAATCGTATAGGTGATGGAGGCAAGCTTCGTACGTCGAATCGTTTAGGTGATGGAGGCAAGCACCGTATGTCGAATCGTATAGGTGGTGAGGGCAAGCAACGTATGTTGAAGCGTATAGGTCACGGAGGCAAACACCGTATGTCGAATCATATATTTCACGGAGGCAAGCAACGTATGTCGAAGCGTATTGGTCACGGAGGCAAGCAACGTATGTCATAGGTCACGGAGGCAAGCACCGTATTTCGAATTGTTTAGGTGATGGAGAAAAGCACCGTATGTCAAATCGTTTAGGTGATGGAGGCAAGCATCGTATGTCGAATCGTTTAGGTGATGGAGGCAAGCACCGTATGTCGAATCGTATAGTTGGTGAGGGCAAGCACCGTATGTCGAATCGTAAAGGTGGTGAGGGCAAGCACCGTATGTCGAATCGTATAGATGATGAAGGCAAGCGCCATATGTCGAATCGTATAGGTGGTGAGAGCAAGCACCGTATGCCGGAGCGCATAGGTCACGGAGGCAAGCACCGTATGTCGAGGCGTTCTAGCGTTTAGAACTTCAGACACCACTTCACATCTAACGTAGATGAAATTTCATCACAAGAGGGTTTTTTCCCTTTTAATTGCACTTGGCCTTTAACTGACATCTTAATTTCCTTTCATGACATTTAGAATTGACACAGCGACATTTTCAATCAGGCAGCTTAGAACCGGATTTGAAATGGAATTGAACGTTCCGAGCAAATGCATCGTCGATTTTCCCCAGATGCTTAGCGTTTTATTTTTGATATACCCCCCCCCCCCCGAAAAAAAAAATAAACCAACATATTATGGATAGCCCCACCCCACCCCCACCGCCCAAAACATCTTATGGGAGTCGTTTTGGATTCTCAAGATTCAAGATTTCCCCTCTTTACATGTCTATATTTAGCAATATCCTAGGATCGCGGTCTAGGTATCTAAAACAACATGTTCTGGGTCAAGGAATGTAATTATACAATCTAGATACATGTATATTATGACAGCCATCTTGGATTTTCAAATTTCTCGCTATGTAAAAACCTATATCGACCAATATGTCACCTTTCAAACCACTTAGCATCTCAATTTTGGTGTCTAAACCTACATTTCCAGGATCAAGAAATAAAATTGTTCCATCTAGAAAAGGATTTGATTGCTTTTACAATCTGATTAAAACACAGATTCTATTTCGTTTCTTTTTAATAGTTCGAAATTTCGTTTTACTTGTCTTTACAATACTTGGATCTGTTATATAACCGCGTTCTGGATGATATGAGGGATTAGCCAATGAAACGGTCTGTTACGGCGAGTCTTTGGCGTAAGATACACGGAACTGTGGGTAACCCACTAGACACACCAACGCTGATTGGTTAATCATATGTCTGAGGTCATAGGGTAAAAAGCCGCTCGTATGACCACAGACGCGACCTTCCACTACAACCGGTCAGATCGTGTAGGCCATCGAAAATATATAAAAAAAAAAACGAAACGAAATATAGATCTGTATTTTAATCAGATTGGTTGTTTTTATTAACATAAACAAGAAAACATTCATCGAATTTGAAAATCTAAACCAAATGCGAATTCTTATATCTTATCTCAGCTTCTGAAAAGGTTCGGATTGCAACCTTGGTCCTGGTACAGAAACCTACATCTTGGACATTTTGAGGTTCCAGGAATACAATTATACCAACTAAAAAGAAACAGATTGCTTTTATAAACACAATATTGAAGCCGTTCGTAAAAGTTGAAAAAAGACATTCAGTGTGCTCTTAATGTTCCCTAGTAAATGGAGATATATGGAGCAAGTAGTGCCTTTTTCTGGATGTTATAATGTTATTCCTTGACCCTGAAAATATTGGTATAGACAATCAACATTGCGATCCTAAGTGGTTTAAACGCTGAGACATCGGTACCGTAGATATAGGTTTTTACATGGCTGAAATCTTGAAGATCCAAGATGGCCGCCATAGTATAATTGGGGGAAGTGGTAGTGCCTACCAAGCTAAGGCAATGGGTAGGATCTAGAAAAAGGTGGCGAGACCACCACATCAACTTGCTAACCTGCCTCACTATATACATGGACGCTGGCTCGCTAGCCTGGAGGTTGGGTGTTCGATCCCTGCATTGGCCGAGAAAGTTTATCCAGATTGTCCGGCGTGGTTTCCTCTTGTCAATGATGCAGGACGGAGGGCCTGATAAGGACAGCTGTCTAGTCCTTCGGATGAAACGAAAAACCGAGGTCCCGTGTATACATTGGAATGCACGTAAAAGATCCCTTGGCAGTTGGAATTCGATATGAGAGTAGGTGATAGTGCCGCTGCCGGGCAAAATTTTCTTCATAGCACACTGAATGGCGTATGCCCGTCTTCATTAGCCCAGCATAGGAGCAGAACAGTAGGACGTTAAACCCCATTTCATTTCATTTATACATGGAATACAATCACGGGTTACTACACATAATAGCTCGTGACATTTCAATGAAATTGTTTTATGAAAAGTATTAAATTGTTTTACCTTTTTATGTTTAGTTGCATGTCAACCAATGTTAATTGCTTAACATTAAAACACGATGAAATGTTAAATTCATAAAAAATTGTTTTTTTTTTTTTTAAGTGAATAATGAGGATGTTAAAATGAAAGAAAGTCGACTGTTTGAAGGGTATTATGAATATGAATATATCCCTTTTAAAGCCGGGCAATACGTCATCAATTTATCATTTAGTGGACTAAGAGTTAAAGGTATATTTTTTATGATTTATATAATTTTGAACAGGGTATGGGTTGAAATACATAAAGAGGCATTATTCAGGCGCTAAATCTGCCTATTGCAGGTCTTTCTTTAGGCCTTAAATGCTATATAAACTATTAAACATACATTATGCAAGAGCTAAATCTGCCTATTGCAGGTCTTTCTTTATGCCTTAAATGTTATCTAAATTATTAATTAGACATTTGTTAACTTGACAAGACCATAATCAACTCGCGATGCCATCGGATGGCTCCGCTTTTAAGTAGATTAGAACTGTTCGGTCTTTTAATGATTTAATTAAAAAATAAAGAAGCCAGACTAAGATTCGAATAACCAGCACCGTGGTTACGATAATAAAAAGTCAATGAACACATCTTGTCAAACCTACAAACAGTAATAAATTGACTCAAAAATAAAGTAATTTGAATGAAATTTTCAGTATATTCCTTTTGCATTATCTATTATTGAACTACTGTAGCAAGAACAACCAGTCCCTGATCTAAATCGTATATAGCGTATCTTTAAACATAAAATGGGGTTTACTGTCCTACTTTTCTGCATCAACCGGGATAATAATGAATACATATCAATCTGGTTAAAACACAGATCCTATTTCGTTTCGTTTTTATAGTTCAAAATTTCGTTTTACTTGTCTTTACTACACTTGGATCTGGAAGAGTTGTTATTTAACTCGTGTTCTTAATGGTGTCAGGGATAAGCCAATGAAACGGTCTAATACGGCGAGCTTTAGGCGTGTTTTGCACGGAACTGTGGGTAATCCACTAGTAACATCAATGCTGATTGGTTAATCAAATGTCTGACATCATAGGGTCATAAGTCGGTCTTTTGACCCCTGACGTGACCTATCGCTATAACTTGTCAGATCTTCATGTAGTGTAGGCCATCGAAAGTATAAAAAAAAACGAAACGAAATATAGATCTGTATTTTAATCAGATTGAAATACATATTAATATCTAGCAAATCCTAAACTAGTAGATATTGGACAACATTTTATAGAACTGTTTGACCCTACTAGTGACTTGTGTTTAGTGATTTGTCCTATATTGAGGGCTAAATCTATTTGTTAAGGCCAGCTCAATGTTTGTCAAGGTCGCTGAGATGTAAATAAGTTTAGGGCACGTCGTGGTTGTTGGCAAGGTCCAGGGTTAGGGTTGGGATTAGCGCTAGCCTTGATAACATTTTGTGACCTTGACAAAAATTGAGCTGGCCTTAACAAATAGATTTAGCCCTTAATATAGGCCTTATCATTTAGCACTATCCCTATATATTGAGCGAGTCTCTTCACGTGTCTGGATTAACACTTCCGCCAGCATGATGCTGGTTTATGATTTGAATATGCCGGAAATTACCGGAATTTGTCGAGGAATCACGAATTGTTTTAGGTTATAAAATATTTTGTGTTTTTAAGGTAGTCCGTATTATGTTCAAGTATCGGACCAATCATCTATAGCAATGATAACAGATTTATCAGATTTAAAAGATGAAAACGGTTTCTTGGTGTTAGATTATAAAACAGATACCAAATTAATGTTTAATATAGTTAACGCTGGGCCAGGTAAGTGTAATAAAACCCACAGTCAATATTAAATGGTATATACTTTGCATTTGGGAAATGTCTTATTGTAAAAACAAAACTTCTACTCAACCTTCTTAAAGTTGTGACTTTTTGGGAACTTTTACTACTTTGGTTTGAATGAATGAATTAGTTGTTCTCAGATACAAATTGTTGCTTATATACAAATGAAATGAAATGGGGTTTAACGTTCTACTGTTCTGCTCCGAACTAGGCTAATGAAGGCGGACATATACAGTGTGCTATGGGGAAATTTTCGTCCCATCCACACGACTAGACAGCTGTCCTTTACAGGCCCTCCTGACAAAGGGGAACCACGCCGGAAAATCTGGATTAACTTTCTCGGCCAATGCAGGGATCGAACACTCGATCTCCAGGCTAGCGAGCCAGCAAAGTCTACTTTTACTTAAAATAGGCTTTGCTCTTTGCTGTATTTAAGCAACTTTACCTGGTCATCCAGAAAAAGGTTCTTGTCGGCCCATTTATCTTTTTATTTGAATCAAGTTTTTATATTTAGTATTATCTAATTTTTTATATTTTTATATTTAAAGGAAAGTTAAGATCAGAAATACTGAGTCCATCTGGTAAACGAGCAGCCAAAGTTGAACAAAGTACTGACACAGCAACAGTTACATTTCAAGCAGAACAAAAAGGTTGGTAGGAAAACCAGTAACGATATGAAAATATCTATGTAAAACTGACACGCCATTGCTTTAATTGCTGCTTGAAAGCCACGGTGGCTCAGTGGGTGTGGGATACTGGCTCACTAAGCCGTCATGGATTAGATACTGGGAAGTTCCATCGGATTTTCTAGCGTGGTTTGTGCTTCTTCTTCGTCTTATTTTGTTTCGCTTAGCGCATGCGCAATGGTTTTTCATGTGGGGGGATACAGGGGTACCTGAAGTAAACCCACGAGGTTGAGAAGGCTACATACGCTTATACCAGAAATAGAAACCACGTGACCGGCCAGCTTGAGTTCGAAACGCGACAACCTAGACCACTTTGTCATTCCCACTCTCCCACCTCCCGTGGTTTGCGCTTGTTGCGATTGGTCTTAAAGCCGAGTACCACTCATGACGTTGGCGTGCATGTGAAAGAACCCTTGGCCTTTGGAACCTTTGAAAGCTGAAAGGCTGCTGTAAGGGCACAATTGCCCCCATAGCACACTGCACGACCCATGTCCGTCTTCATTATTTCGCTTGGTGCAGACAATTAGGATGTTAACCTCCATTTTATTTCAAATGTCCAATATTTTCGTGTTTCAGGTGACCATTATATTCACATCTATTGGAATGAATCACCGCTAGCTGTATCACCAATACTAGCTTATTGTGATGGTCCCGTTCTTCCAGTCGATCATAATAAGGTTGTTCTAAGAGGAGAAGGGTGTAAGAGGGCGAGGAAAGGTATCATGGCTGAATTTATAGTGGATGGTAGACTGGCTGGTCCAGGTAAATCCAGGTTCCAATATTCTTCAAATTCAAAAATAAAATCCCCTAGCAACACACCCATAAGACTTATTAGAAGTTCTTAAAGTTTTATTTTTCCTGGACGCGTTTCGTGTGACAGCCATTTATCAACTGGAACTTCTACTGTACAGTCTTATCAGTGTGTTGCTAGGGTATTTTATTTTGGATTATTTTCGAGGGATTGTTTCCTTTTCGCTCTTGCACTGTACCAGGGATTCTTCCACCCCACTACTACTACTTTGAGTAAGTTTATTCGATGCAGTCTTGGAATTATTCTACAAATTGATAAGGGGGAAATTCTTTTCTGAATACGTAAGTTTCGAAGTTGTATAGTGACAATTTTTCATGTCTGACTATCCCTGGTGTGATCTTAGATCCAGTTCCGGTCTTAGGGGTGTGTGAACTCTACAACCACACAGGACCCGCAATCTAGAGGAGTTCGAAAATTCAACATCAATTTACCATCAATGTCCTTCCCGAAGTTTACTTACTGTGTGGGTACATAGCACGCAGTTCTAAATATCCTAAGTTGTCTAGCCCTAGCAGTTGGTGAAGCAACACTTTGTTCAGTTTTAAGTTTAAAACAATTTGTTTTGATATCCCTCTCTTAGTAATTCAAAGTTCTCTTCAATTGTTTCCCGGGAGGGGGTTGGGTGGCCGAATGGTTAGCACGTGCGCGCTGTATCATAAGGCCTGTCATTGAGCCAACTGTCGTGGTTTCGAATCCCCGGTTGTACGTGACAAGGAGTAGGGTCGCCTGTCCAAACTCTTGGGTTTTCTCCGGGTCCTCCGGTTTCCTCCCACTGCTAAAGACCCCTACGCGCAAGCGAATTATTGAAATAAAATTAAACCATATGTTAGTCCCGAAGTGAACGTTAAACACCATTTCTCCCTCTCTCTCTCTGTTTTCCGGGAATTTTTGGAGATAAATATAAGTCTATATATATGTGAAATGAAATGAAATGGAATTTAACGTCCTACTATTCTGCTCCGAACTGGGCGAATGAAGACGGGCTCTATATGTGTATCTATTTGAATTGTTTGTTTCCTGTTCTCGTATCGTTTGTTCGGGCTGGTTTCTACAGTTTTGTTCATCCTGCATTCCCGGAAATAAAATGATTACTAGAAATCTTTGTGATTACAAGATCAGAATAATTCATGTTTCAGGTAAATGTCGTGTTGTATTAAAAGGTGTGAAGAATACAGTTGATGTTAATGTTAAAGATATTAAATATAATAGATACAGGTGTACATATACGTCACATATTACAGGTAAGTCTATAAATATAACAAATACAGATGTACAATATGTCACATATTACAGCTAATAGACCGGGAGCCCAGGGGGTTAACCTAGCTGAAAAGTGTACCAATTTTTTCCTATATGTTATCAATGTATGTATATCTGGTATCATCAGGATGTAAGTCTGCCGGGTTTCCGGTGGTGGGTGTGGTATTCAACGCCCAAAATGCCATGCACCCCAACTAGGCTAGATTAGCTCAAAAGTGTACCACATGAAAATCGTACAGCAGTTTACGGTACATCTTCAGGTGTTACAAAAACACTCGTAACAGACATTTCTAGTGGTAGAGTATCCCTGACAAGAGTTATCTAATTTCCAGCCCACAGCTAGGCTAGATTAGCTGAAATCTGTACCACCTAAAACAGCTTTGGAGTTGTTCAGTACCACCACAGGAATCATAAATGATCACTGCCAGACAGTTTGTGCGATGGGTTACCCCTAATAGACACGCCCCAAAATGCCACGCCCCCAACTAAGCTAGATTAGCGGGCACTGTTCCCGTGTTCTAAAAATTTAAATTTTTAACCAGGATGCGTTGAATACTAATATCTAGCACGTATGGAAGAGGCGATAAACTGCGGTTACAGGAAATTGATTTTTGGGCATAAAACGTTTTATGGGGCTAAAAATGCGTTTTTGAAAAAAAAAATTGTTCCTGAAACCGTAGAGTATCGCCCCTTCCATACGTGCTAGGTATTAGTATTTTACGCATCCTGGCACAATTTTTAATTTTTTGGACCACGGGAACAGTGCCGGTTAATCTATCGTAGTGGGGGCGGGGGGCGGGGGGCGGGGGCATTTTGGGCGTGTCTGTACGGTACACTGCTGTACGATTTTCATGTGGTACACTTTTGAGCTGATCTAGCCTAGTTGAGGGGCATGGCATTTTGGGCGTGGAATACCACACCCACCACCAGAAACCCGGCAGACTTACATTCTGATGATACCAGATATACATACATTGATACCATATAGGAGAAAATTGGTACACTTTTCAGCTAGGTTAAACCCCTGGGCTCCTGATCTATAAGTCAATGTGCGTCATATATTACAGGTAAGTCTATAGATATAACAGGTATAGATGTACATGTAGGTCATATATTGCCAAGTCAAATCAAACTTTAAAATCTTAACCTTGCGTAATTACATTTGGTACTGACCAAAAAAGTTTCTTCGGATTTTCTAGCCTAGTTTCCCCGGATTTTCTAACCTGGTTTCCTCGGATTTTCCAATCTGGTTTCCCGGATTTCTAAACCTGGTTTCCTCGGATTTGCCAACCTGGATTCCCTGATTTTCCAAACTGATTTCCTCGGATTCCTCGGATTTGCCAACCTGATTTCCTTGGATTCTCCAACCTGATTCCCCTGGATTTTCTAACCTGGTTTCCTCGGATTTTCCAGCCTATTTTCCCCGGATTTTCTACCTGGTTTCCTCGAATTTTCAAACGGTTTTCCAACCGGGTTTCCTCGGATTTTCCAACCTGGTTTCCCCTTGTCTGTGGTGCAGTACACACAGTCTGGTATGGGGAGTCCATGGACGTTACCATTAGCAACATTTATTTTTAATATCCCTTACAGTTGGAAATCGAAATATTTTATACCATTTTACACATTTGATCAAATTTATCTTGTAACCTATAATAATTATTCTCGTATTATTGTTTTGTACAGGAGGATTTTTATTGTATGTGTATTGGTCTAATCAACTTCTACCAGAATGTCCAGTTAAACTCTCTATAGGAGATAAAGGTGCAGCAGCTAAAGTTAGTGTCTATGGTGATGGTCTGAAAGGAGGTATTGCTGGGGAAGATGTTCCAGTCTGTGTCGACGCTAAAGAAGCCGGTCCTGGTAAGAAAATTTCGTAACAACAAAGACTAGTTAACGCATCTTATTTCTAAGGGTTCCAAACGAATTCTCAATTCCAAAACAGTTGGTAAGCAAATTCTCATTACCTTTCGTTAACCTCTGCCTTTATGCTGGGGGCCACGGTGGGTCAGTGACTAAGGAGGTCTCCGATTCGATCCCGGTTTTGGCTGATAAAGTTCCTCGGGATTTTTCATTCAGGCTTCCCCTTGTCAGTGACGCATGACCGTAGGTCTGATAACGAACATTATTTAGTCTTTCGGATGGGACGTAAAATATCTCTTGGCGGTTGGAATATACAGTGGTCAACATCATCCAGGCGGATGTCATGTTTTATATTTCAGGTGTGATAACAGCTATATGTAGTAGTCAGCATCACTCAGATGAATGTCATGCTTTATGTTTCGGGTGCAATAACAGCTATATGTAGTAGTCAGCATCACCCAGATGAATGTCATGCTTTATGTTTCAGGTGCAATAACAGCTATATGTAGTAGTCAACATCATCAAGCTGAATGTCATGTAAAAGATGAAGAGAATGGTGAATTTGTAATCTGGGTTCGACCAACAGAACCAGGAAAATATCTTCTAATAGTACAATTTGACGGAACGGATGTCCCAGGTACAGTTTACGTTTGGATGTCAGGGGTTGTATTCTTGGGTACTGTGTTATAAGATCATGACAATGGACCGCTTGATACCATACCTTGACATAAACTAGTAATCGTTTGCCACGATTTTAGAAATATAGTTCGTTTCGTTTTTTTATAGCAATTCTAAATTTTGTCTTTCTCGTCCTTCCTCACCACACATGATTTTAGAAATGTAGCTCGTTTCGTTTTTTATAGCGATTCTAAATGTTCTCTTTCCCGTCCTTCCTCGCCACACCCTGAAATTTTCCACGGCAGTGTTTGGTCTAGAATCGAAGAAGTGTATTTGAATATAGATTTTCTTCAAGCTTTCGGGAAGATTCGTTATTTTGAGTAGAAAGAATCTGGAGCTATACAGGCATAGATTCCGTTGGTCTGGCGTAGACCAACGCCCCCCCCCCCCCCAACAAAATAAAGGTTCTATCCGGTCTTACTACTTACTAAAAGTATTGCTACAAGTGACCCACTGGGGAAAGATTTGCTATTCGACATCAAAAATTTAAAAGATTTCCTAAATAAATCGACAAAAATATGTGGGCCCGTAGCCAGCTCTTAAAATTTGGAGGGGCTAAGAACGCTCCTAAGAAATCATTATTGTTGGCGAAATATTTGTGGGGGGGGGGGGGGGGCTTATTCGATTTTGGGCGGGGGGGGGGGCTAATTCTATTTTTGCGGGGGCTAAGCCGCCCCCCCCCCCCCCGTGGCTACGGGCCCGAAAATATGGACAAGAGAAATGTTGACTAAGTGGCGTAAAATTGACAGAGATGAAGACCAGTTTACACTAACTTACAGGAAAGAACTATAGTGTCGGTGGTTAGTAGGATACCCTTTTATATACCCTAAAGTATAGAAAATGATCCCGTTAAATTTGAATGTCTACCCTTTGCTTTCAGGTAGTCCCTTTATAATAAGAATTGTTGAACCACCGGATGCGAGTAAAGTTCGGGCGTTTGGTCCTGGTATAGAGAATGGTCTGATATCTAATTATCAGAGTCGATTCTTGGTAGAAACACAGGGTGCTGGTGCAGGCAAGTTAGCTGTCAGAATACGTGGGCCTAAAGGTAAATATACACGGCGACGTTTGTTGTTGCTTTCTTAAAACCTATTTAACTCTTTTGATAGTATACTTTCGCCATTTAGGCCCCATGGAGAAATATCAAAAAAATCGTTTGGAGCTCCCAGATATAAAAATAATGTTATTTAAGGCTACCACACTAAATTTATCTGATCTAGTATCAAAGAGTATACTCCCAAGGCTTTCACGCAACTAACAAATGATTAGGGCAAATATCCATAAGACACGTGGGTCTATTGTGGCCCAATGAGTTGGCTCACAAACCAGAAGAAACCGGGTTTGATATCTTCTGGGTTTTCTTCTTTTATTCAACTTTATTGCCGGAAAAGTTCTTCTGGATTTTCCACTCTGGTTTCCAATCGTCAGTGGTACAAGTTGGAGGAACGAGCGAAGAAAGGCGTCTAGCCATTCGGATTGGACGAAAACCCACGGTCAACGCGTATAATGGTTGGTGTGCACGTGAAAGACACATTGCCATTTGGAATAAAAAGAAAAGGGGGATGAAACGCAAAGGCCCGAGCAAAATTTCACTCATAACACAAGGCATGGCATATTATGATCTGGCGCTGTATCGATTTCCCGCTTGTACGTGACAAGGAGTAGATTCGTCTGTCCAACCTCGTGGGTTTTCTACGGGTCCTCCGCTTTCCTCCCACTGCTAAAGACCCGCACACGCAAGCGAATTATTGAAGTACAGTTGAGCCATATGTTAGTTCCAAAATGACCTAGTTTGTGTCGAGTGGACGTTAAACCCCGTTTCTCTCTCTCTTTCATTTCATTGATAATCCCTTACCAGTCGTTGAATTTAGAACTGTAGCTACCGCTCTTAGCATTATCTGTATATTGAACTCGGGAACAGTTTGTGTCAAGTGGATGTACCCCCTCTCTCGGTACAGCTTTGGTATGGGCGAGTGTTCGGGAAAAACCACGGTGTTATCAATGTCAATAGACTTAAAATTTAAAAATCTAAAACGGATAAATCGGTTTGATTTAGGTCAAGATAGAGTATTGAATTGCGTTGATCTGACTAGTGAGGGGGCCTGGGGGCATAGCTCTCTCTCTCTCTCTCTCTCTCTCTCTCTCTCTCTCTCATGATCATCGTCATTAGTCTGATTGGTGAAGGAAAGTAGGACGTTAAACCCCATTTCATTTCATCTCATCTTTTTTTTCAGCTGGCTTTAAAGCAGAAATGAAGCGAGAAGGGAAAAACGATAGAACAATTCTATGTTTTTACGACCCATCCGAGATAGGACAGTACACCATCACAATTCTTTGGTCCGGCGAAGAAATTCCAGGGAGTCCATTCAATGTACATATCTTCGAATCCAGGGACGAAATGTTTGAGTTTGAGGAGATATCTGGCAATCACAATCACGTGATTGAAGACGAGCAATGGCGAACGGAAATTTAAAGCATCGTTCGTTTCAAAGGGGACAGATACCCGAAAACTGTGGGTTAATTGACCACGAGAAGTTGATAACCGGTTATTGATTTTTAAACAAAAATTAGAATACCATTCAATCTTATTTAAAAATGGATTTTAGTTTCGTTCCGTTCATTCTGATGGTCACTCTATTAGCTACACCAGTGTAATAATAGCAGGAAATTTAAACGGAACGAATTATCGGTATAGTTTTATTAAACTGCCAAAACACCTTCCATCAGACAGTCAGTATAACCACAGATAGCATTAATCAAATGACCTCACCCAAATTCTTATAGCACAAGTGTTTCCATATTAATACCTCCATAAATCAATTTTAGACCAAACCACGGAGGTAATCGGTATTGTCCCAGTCATTATTACCCTTGGACAGCATTAATTACATTACCTCACACGAATTCTGTTAGTATCGGTGGTTTTGTAGAGCAATTAGTATCCCCATAAACTATTTTTAGATCAAACATCGGAGGGAACCTGTGTTGTCTAATTACCGGTCGGCAGGGGTGGGTGGGAGGGGCGGATGGTCAGGCCGGATATGGTATTTTCACGGAGGACATTCAAATGTGAGAAATTATGGGTTAGAACTAGAATTAACTTTAAGGTTACCTACCCCTAACCCTTCTGGTGTCTAACTCGTCCCTTGGGAATTTCAGACACCCCCCCATCCCCATCCCCGCCCCAACCGACCTGAAGGTAGTCTCTTCCGCATTAACCACAACGACAACAACAACCGCAACCGGACTGAAACATTCTTCCGAGTTAACCACAACAACCACATCAACCAAACGCACCCTGACTTGTTCCGATTTTGAAAAATTAAAGGGCAACGGTCCTACTTATTGAACTCGGTCTTATTCCAGAAAACATGGGTCAATAATTTTTGTTTTTTTGTTGTTCTGCCCACGTGTTTCTGGTTAATTGTTATTGTGTTGTGCGGATCCCTGTCCATGTGTCAGTATGTGCGATAGTAGTTAAAATTTATTGCGTGGTGCGCAGCCTCTTTTGTTCATCGGACCTATCATTAAAATAGATTTTAGGCCCACGTAATGGTATGATTTTAAAATAATGAGTAATGATTTGAAAATAGTATCGATTTTGAATGATTTGTGATTTGATGAGGTGCGTGGCAACTTCCTGTATTAATATAATTCAATTATATCCCATCCGGACCACCATTTTACAGCATATTATAAACAAAGCAATAATATATATATATATATATATTTATATAATTTTTATATGATTGAAAAAATAAAATGTTACAAGTTATTTGTTGTCCACTTCTCAATACCTGATTCGTATTGGAACGCATAGTCGTTCGGATAGGACGAAAAACCGAGGTCCCATGTACACATTGGTGTGCACGTAAAAGATCCCTTGGCAGTTGGAATTCGATGTAGAGTAGGCCGTAGTGCCGCTGTCCAGGCAAAATTTCCCTCATAGCACACCGTGTGGCGTATGCCCGTCTTTATTAGCCCATTTTAAAAAGTATACTTTATTAAAAAGATATTATGATATTTTAGGGACGTTAAACCCCATTTCATTTCTAAAAGGGGGAGGGGCATTCTATTAGATCTAGTAGATCTGCCATTGAATCAAGTGGCGTGGTTTCGATCCCAAACTTCGAAATGGCATGGAGTAGGATTGGCTGCTCAACCTCGTGGGTTTTCTCCGGTTAGTCCAGTTTCCTCCCACTGCTAAAGGCCCCTATGACGAGTGGGGATTTATTGAAATAAAATTGTTGATCCCGAAATGACCTAGTTTGTGGGGCCAGAGAACAGGAGTCTGGACTAGAAGGACCAAGAAGAAATGAAATAGGTTTCAACGCTTTCCTTGTCTGCACCAACCGGACTAATGAAGACCGGTAAACGGAAAGCTATGAAGATAATTGTCAAGACGAAAAATATTTTCTTCATGTTTAACATGAAAATCGAATAAATTTAGAATTTTGATACTTCTACTTAGCAACCATCATCATGTAGTCGATTGGTGTGGCCACTAGGTGCTCAATTTGGTGATTGAGCACCTGTTCAGGACCGTTAGGTGGATATAAACGGCTCGCTCGTCGTCTGGTTGAATGGTTGGACGGAGTGCTATAATTGAAAACAACACCGAACGTGAAATACTATACTGATGTCCAAAAGAAAGTATACACACTAAAAGTATGACTAAGTTTTGTTTAGATTAAAAACATTTGATAAAGCATTACTGAGTTTGTCTCTTGCGTCCAAACTCAACATTTCTAAGCAAAATAAAAATGTGAAACAAATTGACATTCTACCCAAATATCGTATACCATGGAAAAACGACTTTGGTTGACGCAGCATAAAATGCACAGTGTATACTTTCTTTTGGACATTAGTATATATCAAATAGACATTTGTTTACAGTTTTTTGAAGACAAGTGCAGGATCTGAAGAATTTTATTTGATCTTTTTAGAGTTGAGCCAATTAATATTTATATCCTGTTGATCTATATTCTTTGTACCCGTGTCCTAACCAGAACCCTCCCCCGTTGGCGATGTTACAATAATATGTGACGTGAATACAGGAGATAGCACGTCGTGATAAATGTCTTATAGTAACTGATGCATAACAATGAATAGTAATTTATTTGGGTTAAGCGAGCGAGATGTTTAGCTGTTACCACGTGCGGTATCTTTACACAAACACCATGGGTGTTAGTAAATAAATCTCGGTCTGTATGTATAGAGAGAGAGAAAAATGGGATTTAACGTTCACTCGACACAAACTAGGTCATTTCGGGACTAACATATGGTTTAATTTTATTTCAATAATTCGCTTGCGCGTAGGGGTCTTTAGCATTGGGAGGAAACCGGAGGACCCGGAGAAAACCCACGAGGTTGGACAGGCGACCCTACTCCTTGTCACGTACAACCGGGGATTCGAAACCACGCCAGTTGACTCAATGACAGACTTTATGATACAGCGCGCGCACGCTAACCATCCAGCCATCCAACTCCCCTCTATGTATAAATCTACACAAAGAGAAAAAAGGGGGTGGGGCACATCGAATTCGGTATATTCAATTTAATTCAAACAATTATAAAAGTATGAGTTGTTGTTTTTTTTTTATCATGAAACAGAATCTCTTCGTACTTCAGAATGTTTTCGTTGTTGGGCGTCGCATTATTTCTGTTACGTCTTTCTAGTAATTTAGTATTTTATTTTATTTTGAGTGAAGTCTGCATCATTACAGGCCTGGTCCCAGTTTCACAAAACATCCCAAGACAAGACTTAGTTAAAGGACAATATTGGTGCCAGTCATTATCACATATGTGATAGACCTGGTTAAACACGTTCCAAATATTATTTTTTATTTTATGATCAGTAGTGGAATACTGCGTTTTATCAGTGAAATAAAAGTGCTATTCCACTGGCTAAAGTAGTCCATGTTGTTTTTACCTAAAATGATTGTAAAATCATAAAATAAATAGAACATTTGTCGTTTTGTCGTGAATAACATATTTTATTTCATCTCGAAGCAAGAAAACGTTTATATTTTCACTCATGCTACGCATTCGTGAAAATATAAGTTTTCTTGCTTCGAGATGAAATAAAATATGTTATTCACTCTAAAACGACAAATATCCTCTATATCACAGAGATCATTGCTACGATAGATGAATAATCAATGTTTCAACAATCGGAATTCTTCGGGCAATCTTATTAAAATGCAGATCTATATTTCGTTTCGTTTTTTTATACTTTCGATGGCCTCTACTACACGAGGATCTGATTGGTTGTAGAGATAGGTCGCGTCAAAGGTCATACGAGGAGCTTTTGACCTATGACGTCAGACATTGATTAACCAATCAGCGTTGGTGTTTCTAGTGGTTTACACACAGTTCCGTGCCCGTGCACAGTACGGAATTTCCGGCATGGTTTCCCATTGCCAATGATGCAGGACGGAAGCTTGGCAAGGAACAGCATCGAATCTTTAGGATGGGACGAAAAACCGATGTCCCGTGTATACGTTGACGTGCACGTTAAAGAACTCTTGACAGTATGAAATCGAAATAATAGTAAATCGTAGCCAGGAAAACTTTCCCTCATAGCAAACTGTATGGAGACTGCCAGTGTATACAGTGGTGAAACACATAACACAGTGTGCTATGAGGGAAATTTTGTCCGGGCAGCGGCACTATCGCCTACTCTTATATCGAATTCCAACTGCCGGGGGATCTTTTACGTGTATTCTAATATATACACAGGACCTCGGTTTTTCGTATCATCCGAAGGACTAGACAGCTGTCTTTGGCAGGCCCTCCGTTCTGCACCACTGACAAGCGGAAACCACGTCGAAAAATCTGGATGTACTTTCTCGGCCAATGCAGGGATCGAACACCCGACCTCCAGGTTAACGAGCCAGCGTCTTAACCACCTAGCCACTGGAGAGAGAGAGAGAGGTTTTAACATACACTCGATAAAACTAGGTAATATCGGGACTAACAAATGGTTCAATTTATATTTCAATAATTCGCTTGCGCGCAGCGGTCTTTAGCAGTGGGAGGAAACCAGAGGTTCCGGAGAAACCCACGAGGTTGGACAGGTGACCGTACGCCTTGTCACGTACAACCGGGGAATCGAAACCACGTCAGTTGTCTCAATGACAGACCTAATAATACAACGCGCACGCTCTAACCATTCGGCCACCCAACCCCCCTTGAAACGAATGCGGAAGGATTGACACGTTGACATGGTCGTATAATAAATAAATCTAATACTTTGACAATCCATACGTACATCTAGACACTCCGTATTGTTGTTTAATAGAGCGTATCAAATCTGTGTAACTATAAAAGAGTTCAACCGTTCGCCTACTATTCTAGGCTAGAAATAGCCGGAAACTATAGAGATTAAATTATCTGGATATCTAATTTTGATAAAAAAATAATGTAAACTATAAATAAATAAATAAAACATAAGACACTTTTAAAGAAAAAAAGTATGTACGTTTTCTATGAGACGCATTTCTAATGATAATTTTATAAATTCAGTCTGTATTATTATAAATAGTATAAGTTTCCGTTCGAAGAAAAAGAAGATGAAATGGGGTTTAACGTCCTACTGTTTTGCTCCGAACTGGGCTAATGAAGACGGGCATACGCCATACTGTGTGCTATGAGGAAAATTTTGCTCGGACAGCGGCACTACGGTCTACTCTTGTATCGAATTCCAACTTTCAAGGGATCTTTTACGTGCACGCCAATGTGTACACAGGACCTCGGTTTTCTGTCACAACCCCCCCCCCCCCCCGTCCTGCGTCACTGACAAGGGGAAAATCACGCCGTAAAATCTGGATGAACTTTCTCGGCCAATGCAGGGATCGAACACCCGACCTCCGGGCTAACCACTTAGCCACTGTGACCCCTTCGTTGGAAGAAAATAAAGCTGACAGAAATTGCAAACTTAACAAGAAAATTAACGCATTGCAAGGAATTTGTTGGGTTTTTTTCTGTTTTTTCTGTAGATTTATTAGGACACTATGGCTAACGACACTGATAAGCAAATTTTCTTTTTCTTTTTTTTTCATTTGACTACGCATGTTTACATTCTACAAAGTATATATATGCATCAATTCAGACGAATCTGCCCATTCATATTTAAGTAAGGAGAAAAGCTCAGACTAAATTATCTTGAAATCTAATTATGGTCGAAAAACTGTAAATAATGATTATTATTATTTCATCAGCGTAGATAAGCAAATATTTAATAAATTAAGTGAATAGAAGACATGTCTTTAAATGACATTTAAAATATCCGCCTTGTGGTATTATCAGATCATTTCTTCGTTTCGCTGTGAATTTTTCGGTAGTTTTTACTGCAGAATCAACAATTATGCGGGAAATAAAGGAATCCCGATCATCAAGTCGCATTATCCCTATTTTTTGCCGTTCGTCGTTTTTGGAGAATCAAATCAAAGCCACCGTTAAATTTCATATTGTTTTACTTGTATTTTTTCATTAGTTTGCCTTGCTTCGTAGTTTTGTTTTCGAGTTGGGGGTCTGGAGACATTATGATTTGTGTCATTTATTTTCAAGGAATGTAGTATTTGTGAAGAAATAACATGCACGATCATATACCATGGCCCAGGAACTGACCATGTTGTTGGATGAAATTCAAAAATTTAATTCACCAAACCGATGCAGAATTGTTCAAAGAAGAAGCATGCCAATTTTCATCATGTCGTCCGGACTTGAATTATTGACGGAGCCTTAAGCCTTTTCAAAGAGCGTCACTCCTATAAGAAGAAGAACAGCGAGATGAGTAGCGTATAGCGACCAGGGGCCTGTTTCAAGAAAATTTAACTAAGTTAAAATCCAAATTTTAGTAATTTGATTGGATAATATTAGATTGATATTAGATTTAGTGCATAGCCAATCAAACTTAAAGTATCTACTAAAATTTGGATTTTATCTTTAGTTAAGACAGGGCCCAGATCCTGGTCTAAAACATTTTTGTTTGTCCATCTCCTTAAACTTCTAGACATTCAGGTACATAGGCGTACGAGCTGGGGGGGGGGGGGCGGCATGGGCACCAAATGCTGGGAAAATTTGGGCACACAATTGTACTTTGTAAAAGTTGTATACACAAAATATTGTGTTCTTGAATGTGTCCAATTTAACAGCGAATTTATTATTATTATGTAACATACTAAGAACCTAACTACATTTTTTGGGCACCAACCACCACTGCCCCCCCCCCCCCCCAGTCAAAAATTTCCCCGTACGCCTATGTTCAGGTAGAAAGTAATACCGCACTTGATTAGTCTTAGAGTGTTATTATCTACCTTATGTCAGCTGATAAAATGTACTGATTATCCAGGATTATAATGAACGCACGTGCAGAACGAATTACTCAAAGACCCGCGTTTCCGTGTGCGAATTTGTGTATTTCCGTGTGAACTGAAAATCGCTGAGGATTTACCTTCCTAAGTCTCGTTATGTAGGGTTGGTCTTGATTTGTTTCTATTTTACAGTTTTATTAACACGCACCTTGCATGAAAGAAACTATAATTGTCAAGCTGAACTTACAGCAACAAAAGACATTAAAGAGAACCGATGTATGAAAGTGCCAATCCATTATGATACCCACGCATGCGCACACTGCACGATAATGGTCTAACGCGTGCAATTTAGATCATAATTTATGTCATTGAGTCAAGTGGCGTCGTTTCGTTTCCCCGCTTGTACGCGTCAAGGAGTGTGGTCGCCTTTCCATCCTCGTTGGTTTTTTCAGGGTCCTCCGGTGTTCTCCTACTGCTCAAGGCCCCCTCTCTTGCCTAAGGTTGGGATTTTAGAGTGTTAAAGGGACAATAACACTCCTGCTGGCTTGACAGCTCCAGAAAATAAAAAATAGCCTTATTCTAAGTACTCGATGTGTTAGTGTCCTACCTGTTGTGTAAATTATCCATTAAATCCTATTTTACTTGCCCAAAGGGTTCAAAAATATCTTTAAATCCAAGTCACATTTGAAAAGCTTTACGTCAGACTTTTTCAAATCATTTTGTTGAATTTTTCCAATTTTTTAAATTAGGTGTGTTAAGATGCAATTTGTATCATCAATTAATTGGAATATTGTAAAATAGTACAATTTGTTGACCAGAATAAAGATTGGGACATATTATTCAGTTACAACAAGAGTGGTATTGAGCCATTAAACAATGTCAAAGGAAACATAAAATACAATAAATTTAAAAATTAAAAAAAAAAATGAAAGTAACATTATGTATTAGGTAACAAATTATGGAATAAACCAATAGGCATAAGGAATGAGTGATGTGTAATTCAATTGGCAGCTTCCGGTTCTCCGAACATTTTACTTGTCAGTCTAGTAAACTATAGCTACTCCTGAAAATCACTCAATTCTTCTAGGTACATGCCGGGATTCTAATCTGGGACATTCTAGTTGGGATTTCAGAGAGAGAGAGAGAGAGAGAGAAGGGATTTAACGTCCACTCGACACAAACTAGGTCCTTTCGGGACTAACATATGGTTTAATTTTATTTCAATAATTCGCTTGCGCGTAGGGGTCTTTAGCAGTGGGAGGAAACCGGAGGACCCGGAGAAAACCCACGAAGTTGGACAGGCGACCCTACTCCTTGTCACGTATTTCAGACTTGGGGATCCCACATGAATATCAACGGCTATGCACGAACACGATATGTCTTGGGACGGGTTGTTGGGTGGGATGAAACGCGTTCAGGGCCATCGGCTATCACTTGACTTGACTAACTTCGTGCGATCGGCGAATGGGTAAAACAGCAACACGGATATACATATAAATATAAAAATACGGGTAATAGGTACGATAAAACACAATTATGTCAATAAAACACAGAATATAGAATTTCTATTGGATATTGAAAAATCCGGGAAGGACGAACCTATTGTCCCATCATAATAGAAACTAATACGTATGTCTATATAACCTATATCTACCTGAAAGCAATGTGATTACCTATGCGTACCTGTAGCCACTAGCCAGTGTCGTTCAATAGAGCGTATCATGACCGGGAGGCGTTTCACATCCGGGAGAACAAGTTCAGTTATTGTTAACCACCTATAATAAATTTATACTAGATTCTATTGGTTATCCGAAATCCAGAACAAATATTCCTTCTAACAATAATATATTTTTTTCAAACACGGATATATCCGCTTCGTTATGATTGGTCAGCCGATATTATACCTCTTAGTATATAGGTATCAAACTTTATCCTCATCTTCATCACAATTCAAACAGTTCTATCATTGAACGAAGTATTAGAAGTTAGCAGTTTGTCTTCAAGTACCTGATTATAAGTCTTCAAGATGTCTCCACCAATGTTAGATCTTCAAACTAAAGACAATAACCAAGATGTAAAGGTGGGTTTAGTTAAAGATACATTATGTAAGATTTAGATAAAGAGCTAGTCATTCTTGCTATAATAGTTCGAAAATAGATAATGTAAAATGAATAATTTGAGAATTCCACTCAAATTACTTTATTGCGAGCCAAGATATTAGCCTTTGAGGGTTTGACAAGACGTATGCAATAATTTCAACCACCGTACTGGTTGTTCGAATCTATGTCTCGCTCCTCCATTTTTAGCTTAAATCAAAACATGGCTGATATCGGAGAAATTCGATGCCATCGAGAGTTGATTATGACCTGGATAAGTTAATTAATGTCTAATTAATAATTGAGAATACATTTGTTTCGGGCCTAAAGAAAGACCTGCAATAGGCAGATTTAGCTCTGGCATAATGTATGTTTAAATAAAACATAGATAATTAACGAGCAGACAGTTCAGTTCTCGCTATAATAGTTTAAACATAGGTAATTAACGAGCAGACAGTTCAGTTCTCGCTATAATAGTTTAAACATAGATAATTTAAGAGCAGACAGTTCAGTTCTCGCTATAATAGTTTAAACATAGATAATTAAAGAGCAGATAGTTCAGTTCTCGCTATAATAGTTTAAACATAGATAATGAAAAATGAATATTTTTAAAATTTAGTCAAATTTCTTTATTCGAATGCATTAAATATTAAACATTTCAGTCTAATTACTTTATTAGGAGCGAAGTAATCAGTGTTTAAAGTTTTGATAAGAATAGTGTAGTCTCGATTTTTCATTGTTACCATTGTTACGATAATAAACAATGTCTCGATTTTCCATTATTATAAAGCATTAAATGGCGATCGTGTGGAATACTTGCGCAGGGATACACTCTCTTGAACCATTGAATAACCCGAGCGGTATTCAATGGTCATTGAGTTCTATTTTTATTCTATAACTACATGCAAATCTCAAAATACACTGTACTATCTAGATTATCATAAAAAATCATTACCACTAACGTGAAAATTCATCATAGGTTCCGCCCTTTTTTCTTTCTTTTTTTACAAAAATTGTGGTTGCCTAGTTGTGACGTCATTACAGTTTGACGTAGTTCTGTAAGTGACGTCATTATGGACAAAAGTAGTACGTTTTCAAGCCATTGAATACAACTATAGGTTATTCAATGGCTGTATTCAATGACCGTATTCAATGACATTTGCTTGTATTTGCATGTAGTTATAGAATAAATTATAATATCACAACTGCCCGATGACCTAGAGAGTTAATTATTGGCTTGCCTTGTGAATAAATGTGTAATTAATAATTTATATAACATTGGAGACCAAAAGAAAGACCAGCAATAACCAGATTTAGCTTTTAAGTATGACTGCTCAGTATTAATGATATAAATTTTCTTGATGAAATTTATATTGTCATTGCTTATTTGTTTTTCCGTTTTCAGGTGGTTTTCCCTTCAGCAAATGTTATGCAACAACCAACAGTGAAGAAAAACAACAAAAAATATTGTTTAATTGCTGCATCAGTGATCAGCGCTGCTGTGGTTATAACTCTTGGTGCTATCGGTTCTGTGGCACTTTACCAACATATGAACAAACCAGAGGTAAGATTCTGGATTTTTCTCTTGCCAGGCACAGATTATTCTTAGAATATCGTCGTCTTTTTTAAACTAACGAGAGTTTTTGATAATAAATGATGAAAAATGTATTGAACGTTTGCCATTTTAATAACTCGAAATGATTTATTGTTCTTAGCCTTGTGTTAAAAAAAAATAAAAAGCTGCATTATGTTTTACGTAATTTAAGATAAATTAATGTTGATGTACAAGGTCGTAATAACAGGCCAGAAATTAGTTGGTATCAAGAAAGTCGCTGAAATAAATATTGTGCGAAAAAAATAAATTCTTGGGAACATTTTGACATCTTTGAAGATGTTTACCCTTTTTTGCCGCGCATCGCGGGGAGGGGGAAGAGAAATGGGGTTAAACTTCCACTCGACACAAACTAGGTCATTTCGGGATAAACACATGGTTCAATTTTATTTCAATAATTCGCTTGCGCGTAGGGGTGTTTAGCAGTGCGAGGAAACCGGAGGACCCGGAGAAAACCCACGAGGTTGGAAAGATGATCCTACTCCTTGTCACGTACAACCGGGGAATCGAAACCACTCCAGTTAACTCAATGACAGACCTTATGATACAACGCGGACCTGCTAATCATCCCCCCACCCCCCGAATCAAACAGAGGTTTTGTGTGGTTGATTTCTGTAGTAAATAGACGGTTTTCCACATGTATATAGACCACTGTGTATTTCTCATCAAAACATAAGGTTTTGGTTTTGTTTTTAGTTAATAATAGTAATGGAAATAATAGGAGTGAATTGGGTAATAAATAAACTATGTAATTATTTTTTCAGGAATATAATACTGAAACGCTTTATAATGGACAACATATTCCTGAACATGCCCGTGTGGATTATGTAAATAGAATAACTTATGTTAATAATTCACAGTATGGTGAAGTGTTGGCTGGCAACAATTTACATGATTATAATAGAGTAAGTATACATTTACAATAATATATAAGATCGATTGACCTAACTGTACATGAATGGTGGGGGGGGGGGGGGGTAGTAGCCTTCCACTCAACAGCACGACTTTCCAGATAATGATATACCAAATCTTTGTCCTTTGGTGGGGGTTTTAGTAGTAGAAGGAAACTCAGAAAAAAACCAAACAGGATTAGTTACACAAAAACATCGGATTGAAACCAAAATACACGAATCTATGTCAGATCTTATGATCTAAAGGGTATGCATTAGACCACTTGCTAAAATAATATGCTATATATTGAAAAATGAAATGAAATGGGGTTTAAGGTCCTACTGTTCTGCTCCGAACTGGGCTAATGAAGACGGGCATACGCCCATGAGGGAAATTTTGCTCGGACAGCGGTACTACGGCCTACTCTTATATTGAATTCCAACTGTCAAGGTATCTTTTACGTGCACGGGAGCTCGGTTTTTCGTCCCATCCGAACGACTAGACAGCTGTCCTTGTCACGCCCTCCGCCCTGCATCACTGACAAGGGGGAATTATGGCTATATTTTTATTGAAAAATTTGTGAGTATATTTTATGTATTTTTAATTTCAGAAATTGTTAGTATTTAAAGATGTTGCTAATAAAGTTTGTTATATTGATAAATTAGAGGGAACATTTGAAGAAGGTATAGCTCTACTTGCTCAAAAGGTAAATATCTTTTGTTTTCATATCATTTGGTAACCAAAGTCAAATAATCGACCAAATATCGATTTTATCGATTATATCTTTTAGTTTTACCGGTTTAATTGACCTGTATCACAAATGAAATGAAAGGAAATGGGGTTTAACGTCCTACTCTTCTGCTTCGACTGGGATAATGAAGACGAGCTTGAAACATACAGTGTGGTACGAGGGAAATTTTCCCCGGGCACTGGCATTCTGGTCTACTCTTATATCGAATTCCAACTATCAAGAGATCTTTTACGTGCATGCCAATGCGTATACACGGGACCTCAGTTTTTCGTCTCATCCGAATGACTAGACAGCTGTCCTTGTCAGGCCTCCGTCCTGCACCACTGACAAGGGGAAACCACGTCGGAAAACCCCGATGAACATTCTCGGCCAATGCAGGGATCGAACACTCGACCCCAAGTCTAGCGATTTGTAGAAGAAGAACTTAAGTTGAGCAGTTAAAGTCACTGCATAATTATTTAATAGTCATGTTTATTATTTTCTGTTACAGACACGAAGCACTCCAACACCAATCAAACGAGTACATACCAGTAATGAATCCATCGATGGAGATATTTTAAGAAAATTTGCTGGAGATAATATTGCTGACCATTGTAAAGACATTCCAACATTTTGGGTTATTGATGAAATCGTTGGAGGTAACTATAACGTTTTACTTGCACAATGGCTGTACGAAAAACCACACATATCACTGTACGATGTACAAAAGAGGTGTTGTCATTGTAAAATATGTGACTATATTGATTTGAAGGGAGCCAACTCTTCAAATGAAATGAAATTGGGTTTTACGTCCTACTATTCTGCCCCGACTGGGCTAATTAAGACGGGCATATGCCATGCAGTGTCCTATGAGGTAAATTTTGTCAGGGCAGCGGCACAATGGCCTACTCTTATATCGAATTCCAACTGCCAAGGGATCTTTTATGTGTACGCCAATGGGTACACGTGACGTCGGTTTTTTGCCCCATTCGATCGACTAGACAGCTGTCCTTGTCAGGCCCTTCGTCTTGCGCCACTGACAGGTGGAAACCACATTTGAAGATACTGATGAACTTACTCGGCCAATGCGACCTCCAGGCTAGCGAGCCAGCGCCTTACCCACTTAGCCGCTAACAAAGAATAAACAAACCGAATTTCAATATAAAAATATTCAAAAATTCAATTATATGTCGTATTTGTATTTGTATGGGTCTAAATTTATTTGTTTTTGTTACAGTTGACGGGGAGTCAAGTAAAGAGATGACAGTAGATTGTACTAACGATGCTTCTAATCCTCTCTGTAGAAACAAGAGAGCCCTGGCCCGAGCAGTAATGGCTTGTCACAGAATTGTAATTAAAATTAAAATCGTCATCAGATTTTAAAATCAGATATAAACCCACGTTTAGCCTGCTGAACTTACCCAGGTTTATGTCATAATAATACATAGAACTTATTTGGTGATGTGGAAATGTTTTCGAATCGATAGTTGTATATTTCGGATCGGTAATGATACGTCGTTTGTATGTTTCGCTAAATATCAAATTTCTCACGTCTTAATTCAAAATCAAAATAACAACGATCGATAACTCTCCAGCTTGGATTCTGTCTGATTTAAAACAGGCCTATCGATTCTGTTCGCCCATAACAAAATGGGAGCGGACATAGCGTACAACACCGATTGATGAAATTTCAATATATTCAATATATTATCTTTGTAAATACTCATTGGAATTGAACCAGTTTTAGTAGAGATTTGTCTTTTATGGTATGGGTGTATAGAATACAGACGACATTAATCCAGATGATATTTGTTCTTAGTAGCTAACATTCATACATGTTGGAGCCATTATACTATCTCTAACGTCACAATCGGAATACAGTCACTAATAATAAATGTAGTTATCTCCCTTAGATCATTATTATAATAACAATACATCAAGACAATACGTCTTTCACAAGGGATTCGTGTGACCATGGACCTTGTATTATAAGGTCCATGGTGTGACGCAATGAGATTTTAAGTGTATATTATATTTTTGATATTAAACTAAATAGTGTTTGTAAAAATATAATAAATGTTTTCTATTAATATTTGTTATTCTTTACAATTTTGTTAAATACATGTAGTATAAATTAATACATGTATGTTATTTTTGATATAAAACAAGTGTTTGTGAATATAATAAATGTGTTTCATTAACTAATTATTTTTTGGAGGGGTTGGATGGCCCAATGGTTAGCACGTGTGCGCTGTATCATGAGGTCTGTCATTGAGTCAACTGGCGATGTTTCGATTTCCCGGTTGGAACATGGCATATTAATACCGTAAGGATAGCAACTATTTATTTTGGTGTTTATACCGACCCCCAGGTGTGTGGTACCACACCCACCTTTTTGTTAAATTTTCGTACAATTATTAACAGATTTTGTTCAAATTCAGCATATCAATCATTTCAATAACCGGGTGTACCTATATTGTTCCATATTCAAACCCCAGGGGCAGAGCCACGCCCAATTTTTGTATACAGGCTGCAATTCGGAATAGATCATCTTGGAACTTTGCATACTTATTCCTCATACAGTGAAGACAGCAACTATTTATTTTGGTGCATGACCTGGGGCGGTGTCACACTCACGTTTTTAAAAAAATATTTAGTCTGTAAATTAGACAAAACAAACCCAACGCCTAGCCTTCTATGTCTCTTTTCATATTACAGTCATTGCAGATTTTTCATATTTCATTCTCTTCATTTTAAAAAGTACAATATCAATCAAAGCAGGAATGCGGACGCATACTGCAGCGTTAGCGATGCCCTTGTTATACAATTACATCGGCGGATATATTTAAAAAAATAATATAAAATCTCATCATAACACAGTATGGCTCGACCTGTATGTATAAACACCTACCGGCTTCACCTACTAGAGAACCCGCACTCAGGTCTCCTCTCACTAACCGGAAACGAGCACGAGATGGGACCCACCCCAACCCCCAACCCTTACCTAAGCAACCAATGCTTGAACACATATCCATTGTTAAAATCGGTTAAGAGTTCAAGCGAGAAGGATGGTCAGGCAGTCTCATTGCTGGTGTACGAAAAACATTTTCAAGGGCAGTAAGCAAAAAAATTAAGGACAGCTGGGCAATTGCCCCGTGCTTTTGGGGGTAGGGGATCATTTTGCACCCATAGCCCCGCCGTTCCGGCGCCACTGGGGGGTTGGATGGCTGAATGGTTAGCGCTGTATCATAAAGTCTGTCATTGAGTCGACTGGCGTGGTTTCGAATCCCCGGTTGTACGTGACAAGGAGTAGGGTTGCCTGTCCAACCTCGTGGGTTTTCTCCGGGTCCTCCGGTTTCCTCCCACTGCTAAAGACCCCTATGCGCAAGCGAATTATTGAAATAAAATTATACCATATGTTAGTCCCGAAATGACCTAGTTTGTGTCGAGTGGACGTTAAACCCTGTCCAACCTCGTGGGTTTTCTCCGGGTCCTCCGGTTTCCTCCCACTGCTAAAGACCCCTATGCGCAAGCGAATTATTGAAATAAAATTATACCATATGTTAGTCCCGAAATGACCTAGTTTGTGTCGAGTGGACGTTAAACCCCATCTCTCTCTCTCTCTCTCTCTCTCTCTCTCCGGCACCACTGACTAGAGATGTCTGAACGGGATATAAGTCCATGTGCGAAACACCCTTTGTGTGTGTATATATAAATGAATATAAATATGTTCATTTACATGTATCCACAAACCATATGTAGGTATACACTGATTCACAATCATACCATTTGAATAGATGCTTAAAGTGAACAAGGACCTCTGAATGCATGGACAATAAACTAGCCACGCGAGAAGTGGACGTCAATCGTTTTTACTGCTGCATTGTTCCTTCTTCAAAAGGTGCAAGAAACAGTACATATGTATCCTATGTCTGCAGATGTATATACTTGTATACGCTATGCACCGCGTAAAACCAATAAAAATGATCTTTTAACAAAAACTTTACTTCTCGTGAGCACTGATCCGTTCTATATTTATTCATTTACTCTAAACAGAAATGCTGTAGTCATAATTAAAACAGAAATGTTGAAGCAAGTCAAGATGTGGCCATATTTTTGTGGTTTATGAAACATAATTAAATTGTAAGTTATTTTTTCGGATGCTTCTTAGAAGTTGGAACATGATTTAATACATTTTTATGTTGTAGACATAACATTTTTTTTATGTTGTAGACGTAACATTTTTATTTATTTATTGTTCAAACATAATATTTTAATGGGGTTTTTTTTATGTTGCAGACATAACATTTTAACGTTTTCATGTTTCAGACATAACATTCTAACATGTTTATGTTTCATACAAACCATTTTAACGTTTTTAATGGATTCGTTATACAATTTTAAAGTTTTATGTTTCCGACAGAATCCTTTTAACGTTTTTATCGATCCGACATAAAATTTTAAAGTTTCATGTTTCAGACAGAAACATTTTAACGTTTTTTGGATTATACAGAACATTTTAACCTTTATAAATGGTTCATACATAATTTTAAATTTCAAAAGACTTAATTCAATTTATCTCTTTGAATTAAACCCCCTGAAATGGGTGTCCGGGGTTGTCACACGAGGGCTTATAATAGAAACAATAGATATATACTTCAAGGCCATCTTTATATTACTCATCTATACATATTGTTTGTGAAACTCATTATATTAGGCTTCAAGACACCTTGTTTATCAATTTTCTTCTACCGGAAATTACACGCAATTCCTTCATTAATCACAGACCGAAGGCCTGTATATCTTTTATATCGTGTTCAAACAACCAGGTTAGGAGCAGAACAGTAGGACGTTAAACCCCATTTCATTTCATTTCATTTCAAACAACATATGATATAGTCAGTTGATGATATCCTGAACAGTTGTTTCCTGTAATATGTGTAGAAGTCAAAAGTTAATGAAAAAATCCATTATATTTTTATTATAAGTATAATAGTTATTAATATTTAATAATAAACAGAGTACAGATAATAATAGTTAGGCCTATTATCACTCGCCTCTAATACCAATTTATTATATAATCGGTGAAAAATAATTAAGCCTAAATAATTAATTATTTTCATTGAGGGGACATAATTGGACATGCTTTTCAAGACTTCTTTCTTCTAGTTATTATACGGGCGATCAATACGTTATACATCATTTTGTCTACACAGCATCTCATTTGTAATTTGTTGTATATTCACTGAGATGGTTCCTTTACTTATAGTTTATTTTTCGAATTGCTTTTTGTATTTATTTAGATGGAAATATTTAGCACCTTCTTGTTAAACCGTTGAAAGATTTAAAGTTTGGATTAATGTGGGTCAAAGATGCCGCTGGCAGAGTGTGTATAGGGTGTTAAAGTTTAAAAGTTATTCCCTACAAGGTGGTTCTACGGTTCTTACCATAGAATTCAGCTGTGAAATAACACAGTTTCTTTCATTATGTGTACAACCATAAAACTAGTTCAATTGCAAGTTGTCTAAACCACGGTGCTGTGATGTATGCATCTAAATGTTTCGACGACCCACCAATCAGTAGTTGCATGATGATTAAATTTATCGGACATGGAATGTGAAAATGCTTTGGAACTTTCAACTGTAACACGTTGCAATAATTACTCAATATAAGCCAAAAGGATCCGCCTTGTTCATTTATAGTCCGGCCCTGTCTTCAGTATTAAAATATAAAATTGAACACAAAGTATATTTAGTAATCCGTATTGTAGTAATGGCAATCACGGCTTGTGTTTTTTTGTTTTGTTTTTTGTTGTTTGGTTTTTTTTGCAAAATATAAAATAATTACGATGTCGTTTAACACTCACAATAACATATTTGGTTACCGGCCATTCAGGTCGTACATGTGTCAAGTATACAGTCATATATACAAACGCCTAACTATAGAAGCCTACCATTCTTAATTTCTACTTTTCGCCCTCCAAAACACGAAACTCGAAAAGTAGCAGTTACGACAAAATGTGAGGCGACAGCAACGCTATACAAGCCAAAATCGACTCGAAAATAGGAAATCAAGAAATAATACACTGCGATAATAGCGCCCCTCGTTTTTTTTTCCTAATTTCTTATTTTCGACTTGCATTTTGGCTTGTATACCGTCTTGTTGACTTTCGACTTAGTCATATTTTTGTATTTATTGATGTCAGTAAGATGTTACTATGGAGAACGTAAATTTCAGATTATACATTCCAGACTTCGTAATTGTAAAAGTGCTCTAAACTTCCATAGATTTTTAATGCATATTTCACATAACCCGACATGCAGTTGTGGTCATACTCAAGAAGACAGCGACCATTATTCTCTGCACTGCCCAAATTATTCGTCTCAGCGTATCTCAACATTAAATACCCTCCCATTTAAATCCATAAATACAAAAGCGTTCCTATATGGCGATACCAACGAAAGTAACCCGTTCAACAAAGTGAGTTTTAGTAAAGTTCACAAGTATTTAAAACTAAACAAGCGCTTTGAATAGATAAGGTAATTGTCAGGCGACGATGATTGGTGTTAAATAGTGATGAGGACGATGATGATGACCATGAAGATGATTTATTTATATATTTATTTATATACTAGAAGAATGCCCGGCTTCGCTCGGGGGTCATAACTCCGAAACCGGAAGTGGTAGACTAACGCCACCTGGCCTATGTTACTCCCCGGTATGAGCTACCCCGATACCCCAAATTTCAGACTCGGAAATGACAACGTGAATGATGGATCAGTCGAACGACAGAGTGAATGACAGGAGTTTTCCAGTCGAATAATAAAGATAATGGCAACTCTGGTCATAGCATATCTGTTTATAATATATTTCATATAAATGTTTATACACGTATTTGAAAAATACATTTAGGTCTACGTGTAATTTTGAACGTATAAATTCGGAAATGTTTTGATCTCTTGAACTGTATTATTTAAAATACACGATTAACGTATTAAATTGTAAATAATGAATCAAGCCAAGACATGTATTAAATGTTTTATTGAATTGGAATAGAAACTGAAAACAGATTAACATCCTGTGTGAGATATTTCATTCAAATATTGTGAAAGGGTTGGTAATAAAATTAAAATTGTCATTGTGTCATTTTAATAACATTGAATCGTCCTATTCTGTTACGTAGTCGTCTCAACATATTGTTGTCATGGGTTACTTCTGCTAAACAACTCAATAGAAACGAGTAAAGTATTATAAACGAAATTATGTCTAAAGAGTTCTTCATGACATGTATTGACTGTAAGACACAAAGCGTACAGGATCTAAGTGTGATGTTAAAGGTCAACACGTAACTAGTGAACTGATAAATATTGTACAATTTATCTAAAGAGTACATTTATGAAAACGTGGTACTTTTCTGATATCTAGTTAAATTAACACTTACCCAGATCTTGGCATAAGCATGACTTAAAATGATCACGGCTAAAACACTTCCGTGCGAATCAAGAATTCTTTATGTAAGAATAGAGCTTTATAAGACCGTAAATGCACCACACATTATGTCTCCATAAGATGGTAGCTATAATCTTTCAATCCAATCCCCTAATTAAGTATACCCCCACCCAATCATAAAAAAATAATAACATAGCAAAACGGTGTTTAATTCTGATCATCTAAATTATCAAATGATATTCGCCGAAGTAGTAACTGAGAGGGGCGTGTTTTAAGATTGCATAATGTATCTTACTATTTTTCGCTTATATAATTTGATTTTCAAATACAAACCATTAATACTTATCTTAGCATTAAAACAATCAACCATTTGTGGTTATATTGAAATCTGTAAAAGACGCATTCTGAGGTTTATAGTGATACACCACTACGGGTTCTTCGTCGCAGAAGACACTAACGTCGGCATCGTCTGAGATGGAGGACTCCATAACCGGAACTGGCACATCGTATCGGGTTTCGGCTGTAAACGATTCTTCTACTTCCATAGGTTCAGTTGTTGGGACCTCCATAACTTCTTCTTGTTGTTCGTCCATATCTTCCGTCTGCTTATTAGATTTAAGGTTGTTTTTTTAAAGATAAATTAGATTACAATTCAACTAACACAAAAGTGTAAAAAGATTTTTTTTCTAGTCTGTGCCCGCGTTTATGTCTACTCTTGGCAAAATCGTTATAATATAAAAAAATCATGAAACAAGAATCAAAATGGACGCCAATCGGGTCTCCAACGCCAATCTAACCTCCCAAGATATAATTTCAAAACAGATTCTTACCTGCTGGTTCAAGTCGAACCGTTTCTGCTTTAATCATAATGTGATTCTGTAATGTAAGTATTTGAACAACATCGTAGCGCCGAACAATTAATGTTAATTAAGCATGATTTCAGAAAAATTGAACAGATTTGATAATAACATGCCGAAATTTTTTTCCTGAACGCGCCATATTATAAACATGAACTTCCGGTTTAAATTGTTGGAGTTTTTTTTAAGGAAACGAAATACTAATATTATACAGAGAAACAATATCGATGCTAAATTACATACATGGTATTATTTTTTTTATATAAATATTCACAAACCTGCGGTCTTGTATTCTATGTGACCATTAGCTTACATTTGTCAAACATATCACTGCTCCAAAATCATTTCAGCACGTTGTTAAATGTTAAATTAATTGTGTGAAATCACTTCATTTAATGTCCGCTTCCACCGAGATGATATCGCAGACAAAATGTAGCCTATAGTACGTTGATTTTATCAACCAATCACATTCAATAACAGTTTTACTTATTTTCTTGTCAACGCATTTGGAGTCAATTGTTAAAATCACACCGGGCATGAGCGCTCAACAGGCCTTTGATCTACCAGTTTATTGGGCCCAACTTTATTTTAACTACAGACATCTTAACACCAATTAGCATTCAAGTCTGTCTGGCTATATTGTCTGAGTAAAAAATACCTTTCTCTTACTTGTGGACCCCCGGATTAAGACTTTGTATGGAGTTCAAATTTAAAAAAAAAAATATTTGTTGACGGTACACATTACTTGTGTTAATGCATTAAAAAGAACACAAGTTTGTGTTAATGCAATGCAAAACAACACATAACTTGTGTAGAATAATTTTCACACAAGTACTTGTGTTGAGATCCAACACAAGTTTTTTTTTCAGTGTATAATTTGATTTTCAAATACAAACCATTAATACTTATCTTAGCATTAAAACAATCAACCATTTGTGGTTATATTGACATCTGTAAAAGACGCATTCTTTTTGAATATATTTTTAAAAAATAATAAATGGAAAAAAACATATTATTAACGCTTTTTCAACAAGCAATTGTTATACTCTTAGTGATTTGTAGAGCGTCAAATCACAATGTTATTGTACTGTTTTAAATTGTAGATTTTATTCATTCATGTAAAACATTTATTACAATTTTATAATAAAATGTATAAAACACTGAGTTCGAGATTCAAATCACAAATCCATCCAAGCTAGGATACTGCAAATCCGAATATTTTTGTTTATAAAATATTTACTTTCCATTCAATAAATATTCCAGTCATCTAGTTTTGGATTTGGGGAAATTCATTCTCCTTTTCCCATATATACAGATTGCCGTATTATTTAATAATCAAACCAAACAGCATGTAATCAAAGAACGCTTGTATCCGCCATATGTAATATTGTCACGTGACATTGTTATGTTTTGTTTCGCTCGGGAAGCGTTTATTATACATAATAGAACTCCAGTGTAGTAAGCCATAACTATGAACAATATCATGTCCCAAATAAATAATCTAATTTGTAGATCTGCAATTGGTCACATGATGGTCCGAACATTATTTGTATGGCTCTATTTGTTGACAGCAAATACCGCTAATAATTATCTTGGATAAAATACCTCGTTTAGTAAACGAGGCAATTTTACCCAGCCTCGTTCTGAACAAAATACCTCGTTCCAAAAACAGGGCAATTTAAAAAAAAACACGTTTTGGAACTCCAGAGAAACGAGGTATTTTTTTTTACCTCGTTACAACGAGGCAAAATCGGGGCAAAAATTTTGACACGTTTTTGCCTCGTTTGGACAGAAATGCCGAACGAGGCATTCTGAGGTTTATAGTGATACACCACTACGGGTTCTTCGTCGCAGAAGACACTAACGTCGGCATCGTCTGAGATGGAGGACTCTATAACCGGAACTGGCACATCGTATCGGGTTTCGGCTGTAAACGATTCTTCTACTTCCATAGGTTCAGTTGTTGGGACCTCCATAACTTCTTCTTGTTGTTCGTCCATATCTTCCGTCTGCTTATTAGATTTAAGGTTGTTTTTTTAAAGATAAATTAGATTACAATTCAACTAACACAAAAGTGTAAAAAGATTTTTTTCTAGTCTGTGCTCGCGTTTATGTCTACTCTTGGCAAAATCGTTATAATATAAAAAAAATCATGAAACAAGAATCAAAATGGCCGCCAATCGGGTCTCCAACGCCAATCCAACCTCCCAAGATATAATTTCAAAACAGATTCTTACCTGCTGGTTCAAGTCGAACCGTTTCTGCTTTAATCATAATGTGATTCTGTAATGTAAGTATTTGAACAACATCGTAGCGCCGAACAACTAATGTTAATTAAGCATGATTTCAGAAAAATTGAACAGATTTGATAATAACATGCCGAAATTTTTTCCTGAACGCGCCATATTATAAACATGAACTTCCGGTTTAAATTGTTGGGTTTTTTTTTAAGGAAACGAAATACTAATATTATACAGAGAAACAATATCGATGCTAAATTACATACATGGTATTATTTTTTTATATAAATATTCACAAACCTGCGGTCTTGTATTCTATGTGACCATTAGCTTACATTTGTCAAACATATCACTGCTCCAAAATCATTTCAGCACGTTGTTAAATGTTAAATTAATTGTGTGAAATCACTTCATTTAATGTAGCCTATAGTACGTTGATTTTATCAACCAATCACATTCAATAACAGTTTTACTTATTTTCTTGTCAACGCATTTGGAGTCAATTGTTAAAATCACACCGGGCATGAGCGCTCAACAGGCCTTTGATCTACCAGTTTATTGGGCCCAACTTTATTTTAACTACAGACATCTTAACACCAATTAGCATTCAAGTCTTCTGGCTATATTGTCTGAGTAAAAAATACCTTTCTCTTACTTGTGGACCCCCGGATTAAGACTTTGTATGGAGTTCAAATTTAAAAAAAAAAATATTTGTTGACGGTACACATTACTTGTGTTAATTATATGGAAAAAACACAAGATTTGTGTTAATGCATTAAAAAGAACACAAGTTTGTGTTAATGCAATGCAAAACAACACATAACTTGTGTAGAATAATTTTCACACAAGTACTTGTGTTGAGATCCAACACAAGTTTTTTTTCAGTGTAGCGTATAGCGACCAGGGGCCTGTTTCAAGAAAATTTAACTAAGTTAAAATCCAAATTTTAGTAATTTGATTGGATAATATTAGATTGATATTAGATTTAGTGCATAGCCAATCAAACTTAAAGTATCTACTAAAATTTGGATTTTATCTTTAGTTAAAATTTCAAGAAACAGGGCCCAGATCCTGGTCTAAAACATTTTTGTTTGTCCATCTCCTTAAACTTCTAGACATTCAGGTACATAGGCGTACTATATAACATCCGGGAGAACAAGGTCAGTTATTGTTAACCACCTATAATAAATTTATACTAGATTCTATTGGTTATCCAAAATCCAAACAAATATTCCTTCTAACAATAATATATTTTTTTTCAAACACGGATATATCCGCTTCGTTATGATTGGTCAGCCGATATTTTACCTATTAGTATATAAGCATAAAAATTCATTCTCATCTTCATTGAACGAAGTTTTAGAAGTTAGCAGTTTGTCTTCAAGTATTAGAAGTTAGCAGTTTGTCTTCAAGTACCTGATTATAAGTCTTCAAGATGTCTCCACCAATGTTAGATCTTCCAACTAAAGACAATAACCAAGATGTAAAGGTGGGTTCAGTTAAAGATACATTATGTAAGATTTAGATAAAGAGCTAGTCATTCTTGCTATAATAGTTCGATAATAGATAATGTAAAATGAATAATTTGAGAATTCCACTCAAATTACTTTATTGCGAGCCAAGATATTAGCCTTTGAGGGTTTGACAAGACGTATGCAGTAATTTCAACCACCGTACTGGTTGTTCGAATCTAAGTCTCGCTCCTCCATTTTTAGCTTAAATCAAAACAAGGCTGATATCGGAGAAATTCGATGCCTCGAGAGTTGATTATGACCTGGATAAGTTAATTAATGTCTAATTAATAATTGAGAATACATTTGTTTCGGGCCTAAAGAAAGACCTGCAATAGGCAGATTTAGCTCTGGCATAATGTATGTTTAAATAAAACATAGATAATTAACGAGCAGCCAGTTCAGTTCTCGCTATAATAGTTTTAACATAGATAATTAACGAGCAGACAGTTCAGTTTTCGCTATAATAGTTTTAACATAGATAATTAACGAGCAGACAGTTCAGTTCTCGCTATAATAGTTTAAACATAGATAATTAACGAGCAGCCAGTTCAGTTCTCGCTATAATAGTTTTAACATAGATAATTAACGAGCAGCCAGTTCAGTTCTCGCTATAATAGTTTAAACATAGATAATTTAAGAGCAGACAGTTCAGTTCTCGCTATAATAGTTTAAACATAGATAATTAACGAGCAGCCAGTTCAGTTCTCGCTATAATAGTTTAAACATAGATAATTAACGAGCAGCCAGTTCAGTTCTCGCTATAATAGTTTAAACATAGATAATTTAAGAGCAGACAGTTCAGTTCTCGCTATAATAGTTTAAACATAGATAATTAACGAGCAGCCAGTTCAGTTCTCGCTATAATAGTTTAAACATAGATAATTAACGAGCAGACAGTTCAGTTCTCGCTATAATAGTTTAAACATAGATAATGAACAAGCCAACAGTGAGGCTGATGTCCCCCGCCGAAAAGGAAAATAATTAGAGGACACATATAAATTTATCACAAATTATCTTTTACAAAGTATTGAACAATCAAACAGTATATCTTTACTTATAGTCTAACAATCAAAGTAGGAGAGTTATTGTTTTCCAAAGTCTCGACCAATCAAATTGCGTATCGCTCTGCTTACCCTGAGCAGAAAATGCTCATTATCAAACTTAGTCAAGGTATTACTGTAATGAAACTATACACCAAGTTTCATCAATCTCACTTAATTAGAACTAAAGTTATCGTGTCCCAAAGCATCAACCAATCAAATTGCTTATCTCTGCTTACCCTAAGCGGAAAATGCTCATCTTCGAACTCCATCAAGGCATTGACCTAATCAACACATACACCAAGTTTGAACATTCTAGCTCAATTAGGAAGAGAGTTATCGTGCCCCAAAGTATCAACCAATCAAATTGCTGCTTACCCTGAGCAGAAAATGCTCATTATCAAACTTAGTCAAGGTATTACTGTAATGAAACTATACACCAAGTTTCATCAATCTCACTTAATTAGAACTAAAGTTATCGTGTCCCAAAGCATCAACCAATCAAATTGCTTATCTCTGCTTACCCTAAGCGGAAAATGCTCATCTTCGAACTCCATCAAGGCATTGACCTAATCAACACATACACCAAGTTTGAACATTCTAGCTCAATTAGGAAGAGAGTTATCGTGCCCCAAAGTATCAACCAATCAAATTGCTTATCTCTGCTTACCCTAAGCGGAAAATGCTCATCTTCGAACTCCATCAAGGCATTGACCTAATAAACACATACACCAAGTTTGAACATTCTAGCTCAATTAAAAGTTATCGTGTCCGAAAGCATCAACCAATCAAATTGCTTATCTCTGCTTACCCTAAGCGGAAAATGCTCATCTTCGAACTCCATCAAGGCATTGACCTAATCAACACATACACCAAGTTTGAACATTCTAGCCTAATTAGGAAGAGAGTTATCGTGTCCCAAAGCATCAACCAA